AAAATGATCATTCTCAACTTTTTTCTCTTCCTCAATAAGCATACCTTTTTTTTAGAACTATATCTAAGTATCGAGCCAAAAGTTCGGCTGATTTGGTACTGGCACCACATGCTTCGGTACTGGTACCACTTGCTTCCGTAATAGCATTTTTATTTATGAATTTACTGCAAGCCTAAAAATATTCAATTATGTAAGGAATTATGACATAAAACAGATACATACACTGTTAAGAGCTCCAATAAAACTGTTGCGTTCGCCTCCGAAGCATTCGTGAATAAGAGAGAGATACTTATTGTAAATTTCAATAATTTTGGTAATATAAACTTTGGCATCCTGATAAAATATCAGACACAATATATAGGTATATGAGGACCTGACATAAACGTACTGTGCGTGCGGTTTCAGCGATACTCTCAATTACTTGCAGTCCCGTTAAATAGATATGTTTTTCGACAATTTCTTTGAGTTTTTCGATGGCACTAGGTACTCGACTAACCAATGTGAAGAGAATGGCCAAATCTATTGAATGAAATATGTAAATCGCTTTACCAAAGTATTTAAGGCTGGTTAATCGCTTGTCCTTGCCATGAATAGACCGTTCTCATATAATAGACAATGCGAGTGCATTCTGACAGTAGTGCAAGGAAAAACGATTCATCAGATAAATGCTCACCTTGGTTTTTGTCGTTATGCAGAAGAAATTCGGCCCCGACATAGATCAGATCAAGTTTATTACGAATAAGCACATCGTCAAGAATGAATAGAAGTGAACCTAATGTGGATGAGTGTAAGTAGGATTTGGCACGATGCTCCTCTTCGATGAGACGTTCAGCTACCTAACAAAAGTATAAGAGACGAGTTGAGAATACTTACTAAACAGAAACAGAACAATTCACCTGTTTAATATATTCGCTGATCAAATCTGCAGAAGTAAACTTCGCAGCTTCGCATGTATAGAATTGTTCGCTCTCTCGAAGAAATAAAATTTCAAAATATTCTTTGTAAACACTAAGTTTTTTTGGATTATTTTCTCCCATTCGTATGTTGTATAATTTATCGCCAAGATCAACTAAATGAAATACGGCTAGATCGAAATTTCAAATCATTTTTACAATTTACTGTAACTCTCAATGACAACTTTGATTGGTTCACTATCGATCGTTTCATGCTTACGCTCATTTTCAATGCAATCGAGACAAGTTCGTGTCATTCGTGTGCCAAATGTCTCACCGATCACTTCTTTCCATTTTACCATAGACAACTAAAAATATATGCGATGATCTAATTAATATTATAGCTTGATTCTCATTTACAGTGAATATATCGTAGATATTCGTTCCACTATCCTGTTGAGCTTTTTTTACCCAATGTTGATTAATATAATGACAGAAGCCATTGATGAATTTGCTTGAAAAATGATATTTTTCCCAAGAATTTTTATAAAATCGAATGAGATCATCACCATGGATGTCATTCGCACTCTAGAATGATAGTACCAAAAAAACAAATTTTATTCATCATTTATTTCTCAACCGAAAGAAAACAATATTTAACACATCATTTGATTGTAACTCACTTCACGAAGTTCGATAAGGTGTGTGTAGAAATGAGATTCTAATCTTTTATACAATTCATGTCCACCATTAGGGTAAACTTGCAATGGTGTAGCACTCGTACAGTACTTGTATACCTGACTGTTAGTATGGATAAATAAAGGAATAAATGCTAGAAATATATTGCATCATAGAAAGATTATTTACTTAGACAATTGCATATATGTTGCAGCTGGCATGGCTTGTAATTGATAAATAGAGTCGATACCACGCTTAATATCGATCCAGCATTCATCGTCGGCAGCTTGTCCGTGAATTTCTGTCATTGTTTTTCTAGAACGAGAGATGAATGATAGTACACATTTTATACTATGAAAGTGCATTGATGACTGCAATTTTTTTTAAAAAATGGCAAAAAGTGAATGATTTTTTTTAAAAAAGGGAAGAAAACGGCGTTTGATGAAGAGTATTCGTTGGATTACACATGTGTATACAATGCCGAAGAATACAGAAAGAAAGAAAGAATGTTTTTCATCGATGATGACGAAATGGAAAAAACCTGCAAATACAGTAGTTAGGGGAGAACGTATAACATGTACAGGTATAGAAGAAAATTCATCAACTGGAATAATCCAATCTTCTCTATTTATGACGACACCGTGAAGATGTGGATGTCGAATGAGTGTCGGTTACACCTGCGACCACCCTTTCACCCACACCCTCAAGGTCGTTTTCTTCCATATCTGCCATGCAACTGGGTTTTTTCTCAGTGTTTTTGTTTGTGCGCGCTCTTGAGCCGTCATTTTCTTCCATTGTTGCTCTGTAGTTGGGTTTTTCTCAGTGTTTTTGTTTGTGCGCGCTCTTGAGCCATTATTTTCTTTCATTTCTGCTCTGCAGTTGGGATTTTTCTCAGTGTATTTATTTGTCTGCGCTCTTGAAACATCACTTTCTGCCATTTCTGCTCTGTAAATGGGTTTTTTTTCAGTATGATTGTTTGTGCACGCTCTTCAAAGCCGACGCAGTGCTCACCAGAGATGGGATCAGTTCGTGTTTTTCTCGAACCAAACCGAACCAAGCCAAAACTTATAACAATCTAACGAGTGTATTTGAATATCAAATTTTGAACGAGTTGAATGTCTCGAACCGAACCGAACCGGTCCCATGTCTGGTTCTCACACAACTAGTGTATATTTTCCGGGCAGTGATGCCATTCAGCGAAATAATTTTTCTTGATGAGGATATGGACAACAAGTGAGGGTGAGGGCGAAAGATGTTTCGCAGTTTTGACTTTCACGCATTTTTTCACTGAGAAAGCCGTTCGCTGATATGGTTTTCGCTCAAAGGACACCATACTCATTTCAGAAAAAAATCAGATTTACTCCACGTAAGTCGAGGATCGGAACTTATCGTGAAAACGAGTTGTAGCTTGTTTTCGTATGATTTTCGTTGAGGTGTAGGTTCAGGTATAGATGTGTATTATCGACGAGAATGAGTTCTTAAAAAACCGTCAAAGGTAAAGCGATACCTGAACGAGTTTACGTTGAACGTCCTGTCAAATGAGAGTTGATTTGCACAATTTTATAGCCTATTATATACTCACATATTTTCGACTTTAATGATGACTGTTCGTGATTCTAAAGATAGGTTTCCATTATACTGCTATTATTTTTCGGTACTTTTGTCGATATGAGGTACTTTACATAAAACTGTTAATATCACTTCTCTATATGAGATTTTGTCTTCATACCAGAAAGTGAACCAATATTATCACATTCGTTATACATATCGATGTGAAGTAATAAAGGGTGGCCTAGCTATGCTGACTCGATTTGTACCTTGACGGTGAGTTTACAAATGAAAAATAATAATTAAGAGCATTTTGAGGAGTTGGTGTATGTGTGTGGGTGTTGACAAGAGATAATCATAATCCCACACCCACACCCTCAATTCTCTCGTATAAATAAATGATCAATATAGTTAGATTTGTTTATTTACACATTGCTCGCAAATGTTAAATCCTTCCAGTTTACAAGAACAATGCCATGATAAACCCCGTTCACTGTGAGAATCTCTATTACATCTATAACTATCTGCTCGATATTCAATGCTATAATTTTCTCGCCGTTGGTTGCTGTCGCACAATCGAAGACGATGGTCTTGTGGGCACAACGGTTGTAGTATACCTAAAAAGAGTCAAATAAGCAATGAAAAATTGTGATGAATCTCCTGAACGAATTTAAAAAAATATATATAATAATCATAGAAAGACCGTCACACTTGCCATGAAGTTCTTCAATTTATATCCTTTAAAAGATAATATATTAAAAATAACTTGATTTCTACACCCGTGTTGAGAACTGATAGCTTATTTAGGATATTAATACAACTTATTTGAGTTTTTTTGTTAAAGAAAATATTCAAAAAATGAAATAAACTATTTCGTTCTTCCTACCATTAAAATCGAATCCAATTGGGATCTAAGAGAGTTTTTGTAACAGTACCACAAAATCAATTGAATAATCAGTAACTCACCATTCTGTTTTCTTGCACATCTGTCAAATACTTTCTATCTCTCGAGCCTATTTCATTTCCACGAAGTTCAAGTGTTGCTACTGTCTATAATAAATTCGAAGTCATACATATATATTAACAACTCTATATCACCTGATTCGTTTCTAACGCATCAGCAAGGTAGATAGCTCCTTCGTCTCCAATGAAATTCGACAGAAGATCCAGAGAAACAATTCTCTAATATCATAATCAATCGTGAAGAAAAAATACATCGAACAGAAAAGACAATTACCGAAGATTTTCTTAGTAAATCCGCTAAAAGCTGAGCACCTCGATCGGTTATCTTATTTGAAACAAGACTGATATTTTTAGTTTTCTAAACAAAAATTCAAGATAAAAACATAAATTAAACCAGAATGAAATCTATTCTCACCTCACATATTGCTGAAATACTAGTTATGTACTCAATTATATTATCTTCGATTCCATAGCAGTTCAACTCGAAATCGTAACCAACCTAAAAAAGAATTCTGGACAATTAAGAATAATATATAATATTCGCGAATTACCAAATATCTTTGATGACTGGCAATAACTGAAAAAGCTTTGCAATCAGAACTGTTGTGGGTGTAGTTGTAAGTTTCACTGATATACTCCATATAGATATACATATAGGCGTTTGTACATTATTTACTAATTTTTATATAATGATCATTAATGATTGTTATGTTCAATTCAATCAATAAAACACCATTTTTTTAAAATAATGTATTAAATACATGCTGATATCAGGTAAGTGAACATATTTGATACACACGATACGTCGTTGAGTTAATAGCAAGTCAAATGATAGTTTATTTTAGCGACTTTAAAAATTAAATTTTAAAACAAACGTCTTGAAGACAGTTCAATAATGATCAATTCAGATGACAATTATAAAAGAGACAAACTTCATTAATAGTTGTTTAATTTTTTAATCTGTGTATTGTTAGTTATTTTCAATATAAATAAAATACTTTTTTTTATGAATATAGCAGACTCAAGAAAAAAAGAATCAGACTATTGTGAGACCTTTATATCTACGTGTATTTTTTCGTCTATATTGAAAAAACATAACAGCTAAGATGCGCGCAAAGCAAAAATGCAGTGAATGTTTTTTCTATACTAATTTTATACCATTCGACAGAGAATTTCAAGACAAGGTGTGGGTGTGGGCTTATGAATGTTGAATTCAATCTTTATTCACACCCACCCAGACTCACATGCTCAGTCGCACTCACACCCATGGATACCCGCATCCTCGCCGACACTCATACCTACACCGAACCATAGCAGAAAAGACGTACATCTCTCCGTGAAAGACGATGTTATGACAAGGGTATCATGTTCTGTAAATACGTAAAAGAAACTGTGTTGAAGCATAACTTGAGACTTTTCTCTAACAATGAAAAGAATAAAAAGAAGAATCGATTTAATGTATAGTAAACAGGAAGAGCAAAAAATGCCTACAGACATTTCTTTTTTCAAGGAGAAATTATTTCTGTTTTTTTGTGCGACGATAAGTATATAAAGCTTTGTTGGACGAATGATTCAACACTTTCAAAGACGAAAAGAAGAATTCTTAAGGTAAGTAAATGAGAAAGAAAAGCAATAAAATGATGTAAATAATAGTTATAATAAAACAATCAGTTATCTATCACATGAAAAGCAGATCTTGATGAATTTAACAGTAGAATATCCACTTTCTGTTGCTGATGTCGTGTGGGTATAGGATGCGTGCGAATGAAGATTAAATATAACATTCACATATTCACACCCTCGTGTAGATCTTATACATCAATACAAGACTAGAGATTATAGAAGAGGTTACGGGTATGGGTGTATTGATCAAGGCGTACATGCAATTGAGTACGTCTTTTCCGAACATACACTCATCCATACTCCGACCCACTCTCATTCATTTATTCTTGTTATCAAATAGAATACAACGGAGAATAGTCGTTGTTTGAATCGGGATTTTTTTCACTCGTTTCAACCTTTGATGATAATGTTGACGTTATTATTTATGGTATATTATAAAAGTAAAAAGATTCACTGCGAAGAGATGTTGATGTAACTATACATACTACTGTATATCGTGATTAATGTTGCGATTTTATGTTTAAGTAAAACATGTAAAATTTTTCTCATTTTTTCAATTTAGTTTGAACTGCAGTGACTCGGAATGTCAGTAGACTATCAGAGAAATCCTCAGGGACCACCACCTGGCTATCATCAACCGTATCCGTCGAACTATCCTCAACAAGCACCACCTGTCTTTACACAACCATATCCAGTACATAATCAGCCAATTATTATTCATCAGCAACAAAACAAAGATGTTCAACATGGATGCCATTTTTTATTATGGTTCTTAACAGGAGGATTATGGACACCATGTTGGATAGCAGCATGCTCTGGATGTTGTAAGTAGTTGACGATGATTCTTTATCAGAATCTAAACTATGATAAAAACATGACCAATATTTTTCGATATTTTAGGTTGCGAACGACCTTGCTAGTTGGAATGCAGCTCAAAACTAACGAAAACATTCTTTGATTCATAATCTAAAATACTTTTTATTGTAAATCTAATAAAACAGTATGTCTTGATTCAAACGATAATACAAGAAAGAAAGTTCGGTTCTTTTTATTGACAAATTGACACTTGTAGTGATCAAATTAGTTGTATTTTTTACAATTGTGGATGGAAAAGAAAATATTTTATTTTAATAAGTTAACAGAAGATCTTTTCTTTTTCATTGAGGTTTTAGAAATTAACTCAAAGAAAAATATTGTTATACAAAGTTAAAGACATTAGAGTTTTTCAAAATTTTCATTGTCATATATTTGCTAGATTGCTACCGTTTTATACAAAAGTGTGACCTATAATTATAAATCAATAATTAATTTTTCTAATCAATGTGTGTTTAATCATATTTACTGATGGTCAAATAATTTCTTAGAACAAAATTAATTATATTATTCTTTATACCATAAGTTAAAATTAAAATGACATAAAAATATTGATGTCATTCTTTAATTTTATTCATTATATTATTCTGTTAGTATATTTGCCTGATTCATTTAAATAATTGTGAGGACTGTTGTATTTTAAGATGTCATATTTTTACTTTTTTCTTGTGTTATTTTACTCGATCAAACTTACATTTAATAAAGTTTTTACATTGCTTCTCGCTGTATTTCAGAGTTAATCACTTTCTATTCGAACAATCATGTTCAGTGTCTCGTCTATTTCGATTGATTCTGAAATAAATTTTACTAATATTTCAAGCAGCTATGATTTAAATAAGTAACATATTCTTTCTGTCGTAGCCAATGCAATTTTAGTGATCAATGAGTAGATTAGAATGATTTTAGAAATAACGAAAAAGCTCCTCCGATCACGTTTGTAAGCTTGAAAGCCAATGTATTGACTTGTCTTCGTATCATACAAATCGTTAAAATGCATTCTGTTTAATAAAACACGTTCAGAAAATCTATTTTTAAGCATTTATTTTATTTCTACAAGATAACTAGAACATGTGTCTATATAATATATGTCATATTGATGATTATTATTTTTATTGAACAGGATGAACAGCATTTTCTCTTCTTCTATTTTGTGACAAAGGTATATTGATTGTATTCACAAGTTGATTCTCACCGAGTAATACTTGTTGCACTCTCGGTGGTAAATATCGTTGAAGACCAATGGTTGTCATAACAGATTTCAATCCATATTGAATGCAACGTTTCATTTCTGTGCGAAATTTAGGACCAGTCAAAGTATAAATATAAAAAGTAAGAACAGGATTTGTAAAATAAAGTAATCGAAATAGATTATATGCAAAATTATAAATAGCCAATCCAGATGCTGAGAGTTTATAATGAAACATAACTATAGCAATTGCATTATATATAGCGAGAGCAAAATAAGGAATTGATATCATAGTAGTGATGATTATTTGAAATAAAACCATTATAGACAGTTGACGATCATTTGAACGTAAACGTTTATTTTGTCTATTGTTACCACGCAAATTATTTTGACCGTGAATATTATGAACGTTATAAATCATCAAAATACCAAAGATACTCATTAGCATAATTGGCAAAATACAGGAAATAATAGGACCAAAAAAGCTTAAAAATAGAATGTAATCATACGGAGAGAAGCTGCAAGTGCTTCCACTACCACTCGAAACTGTGTTAAAGTAAATGAGTATGTGTATGTAACTCAAAAAAATAAATATAGTCGTAATTATAATTGCCTTTCTTGCTACTGGTAAACTACTCATTTGACGAAGTCTAACACTTCGTGAACTTGAGAGAAATCGATCGATACTGGCAAGAGCGATAAACCACAAAGCGAGAGTGAGAGGAGAATAAACGAAAAGATTACGTATTTTACATAAGGTATTGTTTGTAGCCGATGGATCCCAATTCCAGCTGCTTGCAAGATAACGTGAAAGTAAGCCAATATCTACTACAAAACAGTTGTTAATTGATCCGGCTAAAAAATACAATGAACACGGATTATTGCGCAATTCACGACGCATAAATATAATGATATTGAACACATTTCCGAATGTACCAAAAACGATTTGGAGAACTGGATAAATTTGATTGATCCAGTATGTAGCAATATCTAATTTTTGAACTAGATCAATGGTTGTGTTTGACATGATAAGAAATATGATGTTGAATTCTGTTACTCGAATTTAAAACAATTGAAGTAACCAGTTGCGTACTAGAATAAACGATTGTGAGAATGTATACACTCTTCTTGTCGTATTAGAAGCTTAAAGATTATTTAAGAATTACTGATCCTATTTCATTTGAAAATAAACAATTTTCTCCAATAAAATATGCATCTTATTTATATTTTATAATGAGATTGAAAGTACGTCGCTTAATTACATTTATATAAAAATTAATTTAGCTTACAAAGTATTATAGATAATAACTTTAGGTAAAAATTATGTAGGCATGTACGGATATTTAAATTTAATTATAAGACTATTAAAAGAAACCTGATTTACTCGATAAAATGACTTCAAAGTACAAAAGATACAATACAAGTCTTTTCAACTGATATTTCTCAAACGACTTGAGTAAGAATTGACTATACTGCTATCATGTTCATAATCCGAAAAAAAAATGAATGCTTTCTTTTTTTATTAATTTTAAAAGAAAAACAAGAATTAATATTACATAGGAGAAAAGATTATTTTAATATATGAAAAAAAACATGTCTATGAATATTTCTATTTATGCCGGTAGGAAAACTGCCGCGATCTTTCACACTCGCCTACGGCTGAGCTATATGAGATTGAAATTGTATGACAAGCTAATTTCACTCTATGCAGAAATAATTGCTGATACTCTTTCGAAAATGCTAGAGGATTCGAATCATTTTTATCTTTATTCATTTTAAAATCTGTACAAGAATCAACTTCATCATTCATTAATTGCATCAAAAAGTTCGTTCTTTTGACTGACTATTACTATGGATGCTGCGGCTGTAATATTATCTTCAGATAGCTGTGAGCCAGAATAATGTCATAATACGTTTATGTTTTTCTTTATATTAATGATTTTCTAATAAAATTCCAACCCGGGGAAATTTATTGGATGCAATTTAATTCTCGCCTCGTTTCAGTCTCTATGATCAACTGCTTAATGATCGAAATATTCTATCATTCATAGAGTTCGAGTATAACATTGAATTGTCTTTCTTAGTTGATCGATCCTAATCTTTTCAAAGAATTTATGCATCTATATTCAACAAAGTAATTTAAACAATGTTGTCTTCGTGAGAATATATTAGTTTGTTCGTCATTTATTTGCATTTCATAATGACTTTTCAAATACTTTTCGAAATGACTTTAACTAAGCTTGGTTATTTTGAAAGTCTGTTTCAGTTCTATTTAACACTAATTGAAAACTTGAGGATGTAGTTGTGAATATAAGCAACAGTGTGAATAAGTGAGTGTGAGTATTATATCTACCTTATCTCCATTCAAAGGGGGGAAAGCTGATTGTAGTCAAAACAATCAAGAATTCAACTGTTCCCATTGCTCCCACCCACATCCACATAGTAACTGGGCAAGAATATATAAATCATTAGATATATATATGCAGTGCAAATAAAAAATCAGTTTAGTATTTGTATAAAGAAAATCGAAGATAAAATTTAAACTATTTTTTTCGAAATCTTATAAAAAACAGTAAATATAGTATAACACTTTGGTATAATTAAAAATAATCAAACGTTTTATAATATATATTAAATCGTATTTATGATAAAAATACATGTGCAACTGAAGGAAAAAGAAAGAATAAAAACGTTTTCTTTACTTGTTCGTTGAATATCCTTGATAAATATTAACATTTATTTTATCTAAAAGATAAAAACATTACAATCTATAGAAAGAAATCTTATTGAACGATAACTAATCTTCATACGATGGATTATGAAATATGTATTGAAATAAATAAGTTTTATTTCATTGTTATACATTTATATAGTGATGCATGTAGTAGAAAATAAGAACAAAAAAACGTGCACATATAAGCTTGATTATTATTATTATCAATCTGAGTATCTCAAACGACAATAACGAATGATTCATCTTCAACACAGTGTCTTGAGAATATTTTATCAAAAAATGTAATAAAGAGTGATTGATTTAGTGAAAATAATTGCGATATTGTTATTTTACTTGAAACTACATGTATATTTAACATTTAATGAAATTTAATTTAAAACAAACTAAAGATGTGGATGAGGTATTGAAATGTTTTTAGGATTATTACACTCATCGTTCTGAATATTTTTACTATTGAGATTACACATTTACCTCTCATGAAATAAAAATATACAAATTTTTTCTTCAATCCTCTTTTTATCAGTAAAATAAAACTTGTGAAATAAAGTATAATTGACGTCATTTCATGTAGACAATGGTCAACCTTAATGTGACAGGATAGCTATTTTCAAACTTAATTAATAAAAGCCGTCCACAAAGTAACTAGTTTTTATTTTAAAACGAACACAGAAAATGAATTTCATATGCGATGGATTTGGTTTGACGCTAAAGACTAAATTTTTAAGAGAAGAAGATCTATGGTTTTTTCTGACAATGGATCAAAAAATTAATGATATTTTTCTCGTACTTTTTCTTCAAAGATTCAATGAAATACAAGACCAATTTAAGCAATGGCGTACGTTAATTATGTGAAAAGTCGCAATATATTAAATAAAAAAAAATATTACAAATAGTTACTGAAAAATAAAAGATCAATTTCTCTTATGTCTTATTGGTATTGATGTAGAATCTTTGATATACATTTTAACGACCATGACAACCAGCCTTAGAACAACCATCTCCACAAGGACACGTCTTGCCACAATCACCACCTGGAAGACAGCACACAGGACAATCCAGAGCGTAAGTGTTCACTTTTTGATCGTTCATATTAGTTCCTATATTTCAAATGAAAACAACTAATTAAATGTGTTCTCGTTTGGTTAAGTAAGTAACAAACTCTTGAAAGATATGTATCTAATCTTAGAAAGCAATTCGACTAAGTTAAGAAAATATGTATTATTATCATCGTCAGTGAGCCCTATCACAGTTAAATATCATGCGGTGACGTTATATTCTCAGAGATGATTCTAAAAATAGTCTACTTTGAATTTGAGATAACTACTAATTATTCATGTTTATTTTTGACAGAAAGAATCATGTGGAAAAGATTAGCTTACCTAAGTGATCGGCTTTTTCACGTCGAAGATATACTTGATTACGTCGGTGCCTGTAGTGGTTATCGCCACCAAGAGTTCGTTTCGCTTCTTGGTTAGGTGATGCATGAGTATAGACTAGCACAATCGCCATACTTAATATGAGGAAGAGAAAACTTCGCATCTTGAGTAGTTTTATTTGAAGGTGAACAGAAAGAGATTTAATATTTTTGTTGAGTTTGTTTATATAGTGTATAAATCGAACTTCTTTTATAGTGTAAGGACATGCACTGTTCGTTCGTTTTTCTTTGCTTTACGTTTATTTGTTTTTATTATTTTGTTATTTTGTTGTTATTATATTCTCATGGCCACTACGCATAATCTATCTTTGACTCTTTTATTGGGTAATACGCACATATACCATAAATAGATTTTTTTCTTACTGCGTAATATTATAGAGAGTGTAGATATGGATGAAAATGCGTATGATTAAAATCATCATATCTCGTCTGATGTCCATACTCAAACTGATACTCACATTCATTCTCTTGATTCATGACAAAGCGAAAGTTTTATTCTTGTTTTAGTTGATGAAAATATTGAAAAAAAACAACAAAAATCCAAAATTCATTGTATCTATTTTCTCTTCGGTTTCTATTCAGTAGGTATTAGCAGTAACAAATGAATAATGAAGATGACTGTGAATTAATTGATTTTTATAGATCATGTTATAAAGGAAGTTTGGTTGAACTTGAATTTAACAATGAGTTCATAGCTTTTTTTCATAAGAGAAATACAGCCAAAAAATTCAGCAGTATCACATACACATATCCATACTAAATGAGAATAAGGACGACGGACACACACCTCTCACATCGCCGACTTCCCGAATATGCAACATGTCTCGTTACCTATCAGAAGAAAACAATTTTTGTATAAAGCAAGTAATTTTTCTCAGTGGCTGTTGTAATTTAGAATATATATTCTAAAAACTATTTATATTATACTTTCTTTTATGGGTTTCGACTAAGGAATACTGTTAACTACCGAAAAACCGCAGTGTGCTCAATTGAAGCTAAACTTTCGCGATGAAAACTATGATATATCAATGGCAAAAGATTAAGATATTACCGTTCGTTTGAGGTGCACAGAGATCTAAAAGAAACGTGATATTTGAATAATGTTCACCTGATTAACTCGATAAATGTACTTTGCTTACCAACAAAATAACAAAGAATGAGTAGTAATAATCATGAAACATAACTAGAAAGCGAAAGCTGTGCTCAACGTAATGTCTACTTTTTATTGTGTAGCTTCCCTTTAAATTACTATTCTGATGCAGAGAGTATAATGCAAAGCGAGAGTGATTTACTTGTTAAAAGAAAAATAATAATACATTTTGCTGTTCTGATTACTTATATGCTTTGAGTATATATATGTAATGTATGCTATATCATTATGACAAACTAACAACATATACATTAATATAGAAAGTATTTAAATTTTTTTTTTCTTGTCTCACTGTACTCTAAATAAAAATATATTGATATAAGACTTAATATTTCTTTTATTCTTTGAAGCAATTACCTTTCTCGCTCATTTATACAAAAACATGCACGATATCAGATTGAAAATTGTTCTTTCTCATTCTCTATATATAAAATAAATATTTGATTGAGACTATCTAGTTTATTTGTTAAATTCAATACGAAATCAAATTAATCGAAATAGAAATATAATTCAATGATTAAATAAAACCAAAAAGAAACAATGATGTTGTTTGAATTATCTAAAGAAAAAGATATTTATATTAAAAATATAAACACATTTAATTATTTACTTATCGCACTATTTTCTAATGGTATTGTTTGGTTTGCATTAAGACAAGTTGTTATATTATTATTACAATAATCTTCAACACAAAAACATCTCTGTCGAACGATTGTTATATTGGTATTATTATATAATTGAGTAACATTAAAATTAATATCGAATGAACCTGGTGTTTCTTTGTATGATAATGTGCTAGTCCAATCTCGATTAAATTGATTTACTCTAAAAAGTGCTCCCGATAGATAATATGAAGAATAATCTATGGTAATCGCCATAGGACTTGTCTGCCCATCAATAACATCAAACATGCATAGTACTGTATTGTTCATAGTATATTCATTACATTTTTCTATATCAATATAAGGAGAAGCTGAATAATAACAAAAGGAACTTGCGTTGAAATCATATGTTTCATCAAAGCAAGAGATTGGCGTTATTATTTCAGGAATCATCGAATCAAGAACAGAAGGTGCAGAATTTGTTTGCAATTGATTAGTAACTGATGATTTACACGTAGTTAAATTCATATTACACATATTTGTTGCACAAATACAAAGTATTGATATATCAAATAATTCATATTCAAGTGGTGAACAAAATCCAAAACCAATATCACTTGTATCTGAAAATCCTGTGCATCGTTTCGAAATACTTCTATATATATTTGTTATTTCCATATAATCATATGATACTGTCGATGATGAACCATTATAAAAATATTGATAAACACAATATTCACTATCAGTTACTAATTCATCATAATAGAAACATGTTAAATTAAGACGAAGTGCTGTTCCATTACTTAATGTTGATACATCACCATTAAAAAATTCTTCACTAAATCCAATCAAGAGCAAGATTAATAGATTTATTCCGAAGTGCAGCATCTAATCAAACTTTTTCTTTTTGTATAAAATACAACTAAATATTTTTGCTTCTTTTATTTTATTTTTTTTCTTCATGTGTAATAATATATTATTTTGCATGCGTGACAAACTAAAATTAAAACTAAAAAAAGAATTAAAAATTACAATGATCATAGCAATCTTATGAATAAACATAAAAAAGAATATTCCAATAGTGCTTATAATAACCTTTAATTTCAAGTCTTATTCATCATCAAAGCATTTCTACAAAAAAAACAATTTTCACAGTTATCGATATATAAAACGATTGTTTGAAGGATTCATATAATATAAATCAAATCTTTTATACTGTGAGGGTTCATTATTTATCTTCACCTTTAATTCCAATGCACTTTCGAACAAGTCCTTTTTTTTACGGACGATAAAATCAGCTTATATTTTGAAAAAAAATACTTGATTATATGATCAACATTTCTATATAAAGAATGAAAGTTCGAAATAATGTACAAACAAATGACCTTATTATTTTCAATACATACTCTACAATGTTTATTATAATATATAGCTTAAGATCACTTTTATTACTGTTTATGTTCGTTTAATTACATCATTTGACTCGCATTATATGATTTTGATTCTACTTCGATATTTCTAAGGGATATATAAAAAGAAAAAAACAAATATGTATGTTCGATAAACACGATAAATTACACAGGTAGAGCAAATACCTTTTGATTAGAATTCTTCCGTCAAATTCGCAAACGTCAATGAATCTATTTTTTAGATTTATATTCATTTCTAATATCGTCAACGACAAATAACTATCGATGTTATCTTTGTGGTTAGATTTTATTCTTTTTCAATTACTTTTAAGTTATGTAAGAACAGAATGGCCTCCACCAAAGTTATCAAATATTCAATTATTAGGTCTTTTTCCCGATTCATCAAATACATCTCAACCTACAGTATTATCTGTTCATTCGAATGCAATGTTTAAAGCAGCAATAATACTTTCACAACAATATAATATAACTATTGAAGGACAATTCATTGGTTATCAATCAGTAAAAACTGGAGGCAAAGTAATCACTGCACTTGGCAATACATGTTCATTTATATCTTCATCGAACATTGTTGGTATTGTAGGACCAGCATTATCAGCTGAATCGAATTATATTTCTCCATTCGCTGCACAAGTTGGTATTCCTATAATATCCTATGCTTCAACTTATCCTGGTTTATCTGATCGAAATACATATCCATCTTTTTATCGTACAGTTCCTTCAGATAATATCGCTGCATTAGCAATTGCAAAACTATTTATGAAATTTAATTGGACATCATGTATAATTATTTATCAAAATGATGAATTTGGTTCAGGTGGAGCACAAGCTATTAGTGAAACATTTCGTAATAATAATTTAAGTGTTATAAATATGATAGCATTTGATATAAATACACATTCTATTCGAGGTGATTTAAAAAGTCTTCTAACAGAAAGTTCAACACGAATTGTTATATTATGGGCTTCGACTAATTATGCAAGTTTAGTTTTAGAATATGCATTACAATCAGATGTTCTTGGTCCACAATTTACATGGATATTAAGTGCAAATATTCCATTAGAAACTTTTAATAATACATTTTATGAGAAATTAAATGGAATGCTTATTATTGAACCAGTTGTAGGTAGTGTTGTTAATGAACCTATAAATACAACATTATTAAATGAAGCATATCGTATTTGGCAACAATATGAACCTGAATCATTTCCTGGAATAAATAATGTTAGTTTTTATGCATTATTTGCATTTGATTCAACTTGGTTATTAATACAATCATTAAAACAATTATGTTCAATACATAATAATACAAATAATAATTATTCATCATGTACAGAATTTATTGGTAATTCATTTTGTTTCAATCGTTCATTTGTTAATTCAAATTCATTCTATAATATAATTAATAATATACAATATCTTGGTGTATCCGGTTCAATACAATTTACTAAGAATATTACCGATAGAATTAGTGGAATTTATTATGTTTCAAGAAATATTCAACTTTTTTCTAATGGTTTACGTTCAGTTCCAGTATTAGTATGGTCTTATACAGATGATTGGATATTACATTCATCAACAAGTGTTATTGTATGGCCGGGTAATTCTTTAATAACTCCATCAGGCTATGCATCACTTGCAGGTGTATATTTACGAATTGCTGTAACAGAAGCAGCTCCATTTACAATGGTAACACAAATAACAGATAGTTCAGGTCAAATTCAAACAAAATTAATTGGTTATGTACCTGAACTTATTGAACTTTTAAGAGTTAAAATGGGATTTATTCCAATTATAACGTTAGTAGTAAATCAAACATTTAATGATATAGTTAATTCAGTAGCAAATAATGCTTATGATATGTTTGTTGCTCAAACAACAATAACTGCTACGAGAAGACAAAAAGTTGCTTTTTCAAGTTCAATATTTGATAATTCATTACGTGTTCTTATACGAAAAGAATCAAATAATAATGTTGATTTATTTTCTTATTTAACACCATTTTCAACACAATTATGGATAACTTTATTAGGTGCTTGTGTATATGCAGCTTTTTTAATTTGTTTATTAGAAAGACAACAAAATCCTGCATTACAAAATAAATCAACCATATCTTTAATTAGTATGAGTATGTGGTATTCAATAGGTACAATTGTTGGGTATGGTGTAGATTTTCATGTTGTAACAGCTTGTGGAAGAATATTAACTGTTGGTTTATATATATTAAGTTTAGTATGCGTTGCTGCATATACAGCTAATTTAGCATCGGATTTAACAATATCAAAATCTCAAGATATTATCGATGGTATTGATGATATTAAAAATGGAAAAATAGCTTTTAGTCGTGTTGGAATTCTTGTTGGTTCATCATTAGAAGATTATTATTTAAGAGAAATATCTGGTGGAAATAAAAATTTTCATCCTATGGGAACTAAACAAGAAGTATATGATGATCTTTTAAATCATATCATCGATGCATCAATTATGGATGCAGGAATTGCAGAATATATTACAAGTAATATTTATTGTAATTTAACAGTAGTGGGTACAGATTTTGAAAGAAGTGCATTTGGAATTGTTTATCAAAAACTATGGCAATACGAACAAATACTCGATATTAATATTTTATCATTAAGAGAATCAGGTTCACTTGATACTTTAAAACGTAAATGGTTTCAAGCAACTTTTTGTTCGCAATCATCTGATCTATCCCAAGCTATGACACTTGTATCAATGTCTGGTTTATTTTTTACATTTGGTATTATTAGTATTATCGCTCTAGTATTCTTTATATGGAAAGAACGATTTCATATTAGAAAATACATCGGTCATTTAATATATCCAAATAAATCAGAATTTAAATAAAATGTAATCTTCTTTTGAACATCCATCAATTTCTAAACTAACAAACTATTTTTACTGTATAACGAATTTATTTATAAAAAAAAACGATCAGCTTAATTCTATTGTTAAAGAAATGAGGGTGTGAGAGTTTATTATTCACCACACCCACAAGATTTTAATTAATATTCATATAATAACTCTTTATCTTTAGAAAAAAGAATATTATTTTCGTGTGTAAGTGAAAGAGTCTATTCTTCTACTATAAGAAAAAGAAATGTATTTTTACCATCGACGAAGATGAGTAAATATGTTGAAACGAACGAGAAAAAAATACTTCTCGACAGAACACGAACAAGAAAATGTTTCACAGAGATAATAGAAAAAAAAGAAAAGATACAGAACAGAAAGATGAATGAATGAAAGGTTGCGATAAAAAAAAAGAAAATAACGTATATATAGCGCTGTTACAGCTGTGTACGTAGTTCTCATTTTATTTAATAAAAAATATTAATCAGGTGAAATTCAGTAAGAAAAACAAATCTTTTCAATTCGTTTCTCGAGAAAAATAAGTATAACGTGTTTATACATGTTAGGTAGTGGCGATATCTGTTCTATTACCTCCTTTTCTTTGCCTATTCTTCTCATTAGTTACAATAACATCTATATATATATGTGTGAAGATTACTTTATTCTAGATGAATAAAATAAAAACTTTTAATTTTCTATTTATAGATATTTATTTATAATCTGCGATGTCATCTATATTATTTTCAACGTCATGTTATATTAAAACAGAACCGTATAATTTATGCATTTCTATTGATAATGATTCTATTTCAACTATCGATGATCTATTAATGAAAATTGATACTTCTGAAATAAGATCGAATTCGATTAATATTTTAGATTCAATTCAAATTTATTTTAAATCATTAACGAATGATGATATATTATCAGAAAGAATTATTCTCAATAAATTACTTAGTATTAAACAGAATGAAATATCAGTTAATAAATCAGATTCATCGTCATTATTACAACGAATTTCTTCGAAAGAGATTAGTAAAGATAATAAAATATCTTTATCCCAATCTACACAAGTTAATCTTAGTTATGTTGATATTTCTGAATCATTTCTTTGGATAGTAAAACGAATAGAATTAGAAATGGATTCTACATCTGCTCAACAATTATGTTCAGTATTAAATCAATATTTATCAAAACTGAAAGATCGACCTCGAAATTTACTAGTTTTTATCAATCCTGAATGTGGCAATGGTAAAAACATTCAAAATTATCTTTCAAGATTTATATATATAATACTTCTATTTTAGGCAAAGGAAGTTCTGTATATGAAGAACAAATATTACCATTATTTGAAGAAGCTAAAATAAATATAAAAACAATTTATACTGAACGTGCTAATCATGCTCGTGATTATATTACCGAAGAATCAATTGATGATTATGATGGTCTTATTTGTGTTGGCGGTGATGGAATGTTTTCCGAAATATGTCATAGTATTTTACTTAAAACTGCACAACAAGCTGGATTAAATATCAATGATCCAACTACTCATCTTAAACGACCTAATTTACGTATTGGTGTTATTCCTGCTGGATCAACAGATGCAGTTGCATTTGGAACTACTGGTCATAATGATCCAATTACAAATGCTTTACAAATTATTGTTGGTAAATCACTTCTTATTGATATAGCTACAGTAAGAATATTTATTTCGAATATGTATAAGATCTCAACTTGTATTTTTTAGGTACATAATGAACGTAGTTTTGTATGTTTTATGGCAACAATGTTTACTTATGGTTTTTTTGGTAATATTATTGAACAATCAGATAATTGGAGATTTTTTGGTCCATTACGTTATAGTTTAGCTGGTTTTGTTCAATTTATTCGTAATGCATCATATCATACAAAATTATCAATAACTCAAGTATCTGAAAAATCGACTGAAATTAAATGTGAAGGTCATTATGAAGCAATTATTTGTCTTAATATGCCATGTCGTTGTGATAAAAGTAAATTTGGAATGTCTCCATCCGTTCATCTAGGTAAGAATATATTGATTTAAACTATAAGTAGAACGTAAATAAGAATAATTTTAATTCTTTTTTAGCTGATGGCTCATTCGATGTAATTCTTGTGAAACATTCATGGCGTTTGACTTTTCTTCGATTTCTTCATCATATAGCTAGACATAGTCGAGCCGTTGAAGAATTATCTAATGTTCAACGATATCGTGCTACTGAAGTTGTTATTCATCCGATAGTTAGTCGATCAAAAGAATTAGGTAATTGGGCATGTGATGGTGAATTAATTGAAGGGAATGAAATTAGAATTCGAGCTCATCATCAACTACTCAATCTATTTGCATCAGGAATTCATCTTGATCAAATTAAGAAAATAAATGAAGAAGAATCGAAAGTTGTTTCGACATCAGTAATGAAAAAAATCTCTTCAATCATCGATATATTAACTGCTAAACCTTGGTGTCTTGTCTTTTTGTTTTTTCTTTTACTGTTTTTGTTTTATTATTTCTTCTAATTATAACTTCTATACTATTTGATTCAGTATGAATAAATAATTATGAATTACCTAAATACCGTAAGGATGTAGGTGTGTGAATGCAGTTGTTTCTGCTCTTAGCCTACAAACTCCTATCCGACACCCACACCCTGAAGAGTTTTTGTTTGATTATTTCTAAAACGTTTCTATATTTTTAAAAACGAGAATATTTTATAAACATATAGTCTTTGAGATTCCATCGATGAATATGAGCTCGGTAAGATGCATTGTGAAAGGATTCATCATTATGCTCAGCAATAAGTGATGTATGTGTCACATCAGTAATTATTAGATTAGGCATGGCGAGTCTTACAGGATAGCCAAGACGAGCGAGATAACGAAAAATTAAGTCATATGGATCTTTTGTATTGGTATTGAGCCAATTGAGAATAGGTTCGAATGTATTTCGATGAAAAAGAGCAGCAAATGATCCAAATGTTTTCGTACCAATATTTCGACATAAGCCTCTCTCTCTTTTTTTCGATTTATCTAGAATACGCCATCCTGCTGGCCATACAGTCGCTCCAAGCATGAGTACGCCACCACTTTGATCATCTTGCATGAATCCTCCACATCGACTATCATTCATAAGATTTCGAAAATGAAAAGCAAAGTGACGGTGTGGAATAGCATCATCTTCTAGCACGAGCACTCGTTCAAGTTTCCTAGCAAGTGCCATTTCGAAAAAACGAGTCATAGTTAAAAGAAGGCCCCGAACTCCGCTGGTTAATTTCGTCGTAATAGGAGGATTATGACCAATTTCTGCATGGAATGGTTTTACTGAAATACCATGTTGATAAAAAGCCTTGGTTAACTCCAATATATGTTCATCGTGACTTGGCAGGGTGATCACATATGCATCGAGAGTGTTTATATTGAAGGATTGTTTTATTTGTGGTGAAGAACATTCAGGTATATATTTCCTTCGAGGATAAGTTTCTTGTTGAATAACTGGATTAGCTACACAGCTATTAGTAGTGAATGCAGATGGAAGAATAGGTCGTAATCCAAGACTGATTTGCCGATGGAATTGATAAAAAAATTGTGGTTTTTTAAGAGGATGAATCATAGCAGCTCGAAAAAAACTAGTTGGTGGTGATTCTGGAAAGTCTATCTGAAGCTGCTTACGAGCATTATGTTTCACCCAAGCAATCTTATTCTTATCTATTACAGTGTACATAACTCGTTCAAATGGACTTGTGGCGCGTGTACAAGCCAAACCATTACCATAACGATAGATACATCGTCCTAATTCAGTATCTGAATGTTGAGAAACAGTCGACATTTGACAAGTGTTGATATGAGGACCAAATCTTAAAAGAGTATCACGAGATATTACATATCCCATGCCTAGACAATAGGGTACATGAAGATCCAAATTCTTGCGTTCGTAGCTTTGACCTATTGCAGGAAAACCAATGTAGCATTCGCGACAATTCAGTTGTTTCAACATAAGACTTAGTTGTTCAACATTAACATAGGTATCAGCATCGATTACTACAAAGTAATCATAATTCCAAAGATGCTTCTCAAAAAAATAAGACCATATTGCAAATGTCTTGTTGATTGGAGGATATTCATTATCATTAACAGATAATGTGATGATATTTGGACTAACGAAAGCTTGAACATTCATGTCATTTCGAGTTCCTACAAAGTAGAAAATATCATATGGTAGTTTAGGGATCCATGTATGTTGTGAGGCATTGACTAGTGTTTTCAATTGTTCCTGTTCTGCTTGAATTCCCAAAACGAATTGAACTCGTGTTGTATTAGGATGTAATATGAATTTGGACGTATCATCATGAATAAAAAAAAGCCAAAAGAAAGAATTTATTAGAAAAAAGATTATAATAGTGTAATAGAAAGTATAAACCGATCGATGTCTATGATGCCATATCGCCAAGATGCTTCTTAACAGTCTCCGCAAAAAACAAATACTGTGTATAAAGCGCATATTTGTATATTCAAACTTCTTTTGATAAACAAAATGTCCCTGCGTATATCTAAATCAAAATCAAAATAACGACTGTCCAGAATTATAGACTAATCTAACTAGTTAGAGCATTTGTTTGATCTTTACAGAGTAAAAATTTACTTTTGCAACATCAAGAGACTTAAACCTCTTTCAGAACATTTAGTTTATATATAGAATGTACACAAGTCGTGAAGTCTTACGTGGTTTGATGAAAGCTCTTTGTGGCGATTTCTTATAGTATTACACTTTATTATATTTCTCCTTATTTAGTAGTGTATCGTTTTCATACAAAACATGCGTGTATATACTCATTCGTCAGATACAATGAAAGAAAAGAGTAATAAGGATAAAAATATAAAGGCAATACGTAGAATGAAAAGAAATAATAAGAAGAGGGCAAAGATCGTTACGGTTAAGAAGTCCGTTGTATCTTTCTTGCTCAAATCCAAAACTTCCAATATCCTCATACTATGACTTATTCTAGTAACAGAGAGATATCCAGAAAGTGGCTTACTACAAAGTTGCATACAGTCGATTTTTCCTATAATCATAATTAGTTAAACACTTCAACCAAATTGCTTCTCATCATATTAGCGTTACGCGATAAAAATAATAAAAATGAAGAATATACCGATGATGTGAGTATATATATATTTCATGCTTGTTTAAACATTCTTACTTTCTTTTATATATTTCACAATCTTGATAAAAAAAATTAGCTGTTAATAATTACATTATCAACATAATAAATAACAAATAGTAAGAGCTATAACACGTGTTTATCATTGACTATTTTCTCCTATTAACAACGTGTGATTATTGATGCACGAAAATGAAGAGGTAAATGTATACTCGTTTAATAAAACAGCAAGAACGAAAACATATTTCAAGGTCCTTCCTAAATTTTACCACATTATTTTGATAACTATACACTGCAAACGTTAAAAGAAAATTTTTTTTTTAAATTTTATTGATTTTCAAAATATACTTTGTGAATACATTGGTATTTATTTCGCAAGATAATGGTACAAATCTTCGATTTTGGTTTTCATGTAGAAAGGTAATACGATTTTTTTGTTAGAAATATAATGAGTGATTTAATATATTAATATTTTATGTTGTCTACTTTTTATTAAAACGGATATCTTCTTTTTTTCGTTAAATTCATATTGTCTATGTTAAAAATATCGATTTCTACTAGAAAAACTCAGTTGTTAAATACCTCATTATATTACGTTAGATGGCGCTACACTTTTTTCTATTCGTTAAATCGTATAGGTAACAGCTATTTCTATAGTATCTTGTTAATTAAATCTTAATAAAGACGACTTGAAAATAGTTTTTACTACAACAAGATGCACTTTCAACTGAAATCTGACTTTTTTTGTAAAGAAAATTAAACATGAAAGAGAAGCTTCTTCTTAAATCCTAAGAGATATCTAGTTGAGGTTGGAATTGTCTGTTGTAGCATGAATGTTGTGAAAAAATAATTCATATGAATAAATGTTGTTTTTGGTGATATAAAATTATTTACTTGAGTACGTAATTTGAAAGACTTCAATCATTTTTTATTTTCTGGAAGAAAAAAAGATTTAAAACAGATGTTTTTTTTAATCGTCGGGACATTGGGACAATATTACTTTTTTTATCTTGTTTGAGAAAAAAAAGATTTAAAACAGATGGTTTTTTAATGGTTAGAAAATTGACTGAATTTAGAAGTCACATGTTATTTGTAGTTTCAATTGCGACATTTAAATTCTTTTTTTTCTTTTCTCTCTATTTTATCAGTTTTTAATTAAATTTACTGATCCAATCGTCTCCCTTCCATAATAACTAGAATTTAGAGAGAGAGATATCGAGACTTCTGACCAGTCATATATTTTATTTCTTAACAAGAAGTGTTATTTATTAAACTAACTGTCTTATCATATGGGTTTTTATCATTCTTTAATAATCAAACCCACATATCAGACATTTTCGAGTAATGTATTTTTGCATGTTTTTGTTGAAGAAAGTTTGATGGCTTAAATTTATCAAAATTAAATTTTATGCTATAGATGAATTGTTTATTACAAAAAATCAAAAGTTGTCTGTTTATAATTAATATTAAAATTGGTTATTGGGTATGGATACTCATATTTATCAATGCTTTAATATTACTTTTTGTTAATATTATATTTATACGACGAGTGAATTGTTGTGATGATGATTTATCAAAAATAGAAAAGATCAATTCACCAACATTATCTGTTATCGTGTTAGTGTCCGATAGGAGAATCTTAGAAGCAGCAAAAGATACTTGGATTCTTGATTGTCCTTTTGAAGTCATATTTAACACGTCGGAAAAAGGTCGTATACAATCGAACAAAATATCCATTGATTATCTGACAACTAATCGAACACTTTCGCATAATCATTATAAATTAACAATAGACGTCAGATTTTATGTGATCGTGGCACGATTACAACAACTAATTATGGAAGATAGATTTCGTATTTACTGCTCGACTCCGTACAAAAAATCAGAGTGTTTATCCTTACTGAATAATATATTAATCGGTCCTCTAAACACTTCTCATGATTTTGATCGTGTTCATCTTCGATTTACGAAAAGTTCTCGTCGAGCAGTTCAAAACCCAGCAACCTATAATTCATCTATTGATCCTAAATGTGTTCACAATCCAGTTATTCAACTAGAAACATATCCTCGTTTCTACTTACATGAATGTCCTTCACCACCTTTACCTCGTACACCAATAGAACTCAATAAATTACCTACTTATGTAATAACTATAAAAAAGACTGATAGTGAACAGATAAAATCTATCGTCGAAACTTTTCGTTTTCATGGTTTACATGTTCGTCTTTATCAAGGTTTGCAAGGTATTACAGATTCGAAAAAAAATTCTCCAAAATTAAGTATAGGTGAACGCAATCTAAGAGAAACAATGCGACGTTTCATCATACAAATGATTAATACAAAAGTAAATAGAGTACTCGTATTTGAAGATGATGTTCTTCCACATAAACACTTCGGTTCACTTCTACGAAAATTAATTACAACAGAAAATCCAGGACGATGTACAGCTCATATTTTAGATGGACCAGATGCTGGTGGAATTCTTTTATTAGGAGCTACTGTTTGGTCTACAACGACAGCAGGATGGAAAATGATTGATCACGATCTAAAAAATAATTCTTTGCAATCTCCATGCTTTAACATCGATCGAGTTACATTTGGAGCATTTGCTGTTCTAATACATCGAATGACTTTTCAACCTATGTTAAACTGGCTTAATGATCCTGCTTACCAACATCTTCCTTATGATCATATATTTTCCTCTCTTAGTCGACGAGGACATATTGTACGTGTTGCTTACCCATTTTTAGTAATACCTGATATTAGTCACGTTTCGTCCGTCAATCCTCAACGTGCACCCATTCATAATAATATTACTTGGCGAAGTAAAATTCATCGATGGTCTCCGTTAGCTGATTACTCTTTGATGTCTACTGCTTCTAATATAAAATAATCACATCCACCTCATCTTGCGGATGTGAATGTAAAATGAATATGGCATCTACATCTTCAAGACTAATAATATTTAAACTCGATTGTATTATTTATAGGAAAACTACTTTTTAATAAAATAAATAAGAAAAAAGAATCATACACAAATAATTTTAATTTATTCGAGATATCATTAGTAAACATCATCAATACAAAGTTTCAATAGTAATTTATTCACTATCATAATATTTAGGTGCAGGTTGAGGATCAATACTTGTTCATATTTATTACATCCTGATATCTCATCTTTTAAATGTTAATTATTCTTCAAATCCTGAAACATTTGCATATAAAGATAGATATAGTTTTATGAATAACTTCAATTTTTATTTTAGACAACAAAGATATATACAGACTTAACAACAACAAAAAAAAGAGAACATCTAACTTATTGACAAAAAAATAAACGTTTCACTTCTTTTCGAAATGTTTTTGATATAAATAAATATGCATAACAACCAACACAAAATGAAATATAACTAAGAAACGATCCTACTATATTTAGAAACCTACTGGTCTGTGTGAAGTCGATATTTTGTGTGATCTGGTAATATATAATAACAACTACCAGCATTGCATTACATGCTGTGTAAATACAAATATCTACAACTACTATCAAAACAAATTGTCGATCTTTGGAGTGAAAGGAACGTTCAGAGTTTCCTATTGTATTTCCAGTGTTCGTAATCACAGGAGCAATACGTCGTTGACGCACTTTTCGAATGTTTTTCGCTGTACATATACAAAAAATAATCATCAACAAGGGCACTGTCGTTCCTTTGATGACTAATGAATAATAACCCACGAGAGCATTGTATAGACCTGCTCGATAATAACACGTAAAATAACCTGGTGCTATTTCTTCTATATCTACCAGGAATAATATATGGCAATGAAACAACATCCAAAATAATGTTCCACAACCGATACAAATATAGGCCAAACGACGAGTACTTCTTTGTCGTGTTCGAGCATTTGATGATGTGACTAAAACTCGATCGATTGAAGCTAAGATAAGATAAGATGCGCTGAGAATATCCAATACATAGGATGTGTAATAATGGCAACGGCACATGAAGAGATTAGATGCAAAAAGATTTATTCCATAGCCAATTGTTAACACAAGGAATAATACTGGTAAAGTAATGTATAAGAAATTAGCGACATTCACTGCTATCAAATAGATCGAACATGGACTTTTTCGTAGATTTTTTTGAGTGAAAACAATTATATTGATGACACAACTAGCAACACCAAGAACCAATAATATTGGACCACCGATACGAAATAAGTTTTTCTCTACTGATTCTAGCGATGTGAGAAAACCGTCCGACGATGACATTTTACTTTGGGAATAACTTTGATATATCTGAAAAACGCTTCTTTTTTATTGAATGCAAAACGTTCAAATGAAAGAATTATAATAATGAGTCGGATATAATTGTTTGATTTAGTCACATCGTAATAATTTAAAACATAAATAACCACAATTTTTACGAACAAAGCATAGATATTTTAGAATACTTGAATGAGTGTAGCTATGTTTGTCCCTTTCTGATTACTTATTTTCATTTGATGTATTGCTCTCTGTCTTTTTTCTTATTATCCGTTTTTATCTTGTTTTTTCATTCTTTCTGATGGGCGAGCTTATAAATACATGCTTTATATGAAAATGATACAATTCAAGATAAGAAGAAATATAATAAAGTATAATATCATTAGCACTAACACTTCTATCAGAAATTGCCACAGAATGCAGATTTAATTGCTACTTGGAACTCGAGCTTAGCGTGTTCGATAAGAATGTGTTTTTCTTTAGAATAGATCTACTCCAATTTGTATAAAAACATGACAATTAGTAATAGTCATTCTTTCGTTTTTGATTAATCTATAGATGCATTACAAAGTTAGTATAAAGCATGAAAGCTAAAATTACAATGTCCAGAAATAGAATTGATTCACTTTAGTATGCATTCACGCACGAAAGGACGACAAAAATTTAGTAACAGTAAAAGTAGGAGACACAATTATTAAATTACAGAATTCAGCAGGATACCTGGATATGAAGGCTTGGGGCTTTATTATTCCTCTAAGTACACATCCACTCGTGGTTATTGTAAAACTAATAATGATTGATGAAGGATGTGTTGTAAAAATAAGAAGGAGATTCAAATTCAGACTCATTTTGATATGAAAATATTAAACGTAATCAATATCAGAACATTTTTGTGTGAGAATTAGATGAGCACTTTCCGTAAACTGAATAAAATTCAGCTAATATTTTACTCATTTATAATGTGTTAATTAATTTTTCTATATTATTTTGATGTAGTCGCGTATTTTAATTATAATATTATTTAATATAAACATATTATTATTGGTGCGAATCTTTTCTTTACTTGCACATTTACAATCGCAGTCTAATTTCAGTAGAATATGTCCTATGCTCATAAGCTATAGTACACAACTTTCCATTGTTTGTATAATACTAGTTGCGTGACAAAGCGTTGAAATAGTATTGAATAACTATTTAATGGAAGATTATATCGTACGCTTCTTAATTTTCAAAGGATACAAAAAAGCACTACTTGTCCATTAAGTATATAAAATTAGTAAAGTGAAGAGAAATTTTTCTTCCAACACTTCTGCTTTGATTATTAATGATATTTTAAACAAAGAATAGTTCAAAACAAAATGGACGTTATTCATATCTGTGAAAAGAATCATCTAAACGAAAATACATTTTTAAATATTCTGGTCATAATTATGTTACTATCACACTCGCTATATTTATGTATTTATTTTTGTTGATTGAATGATATAAAATAACAAATACAACTGATTGAGATATTACCACATTAAAATTTACATTCACATCTAATAAACATAAAATAAGTGAGGTTGTAAAAATGACAATCATCAATGCTGATATTAATGCTTATTAAACAAAATTGGCATTCAACGGTTAGCCCAATTATAATGATTATCGGTAGTACAAGTCCTATTTGAAGTTGCATTGTATAAAGTCACGAAACAATGCGATAAAATATCGACTCTGTTTATTTCGTTGCACATCACGTTAGCATTTTCATGATCATGATACAAAGTCTAGTCTATCTTATGTTCTGCATTATACTGACTTTTCTATCTTCAGTAATATTATCATTAATAACTTAATTTCATTATTTCTTATCATGTCACAAATTTTTATTATTAAATTCAGAACAATCTAAATGACGTCGATTTGATTAACTTTATTGAAAACTACGACAAATGAGATTTTTTTCGTAAGTAGAAAGCAAGGAGATTTCATTTCTATACTGCCATGTGAATTATAAAATGATGACGTACATAAAAAAAATGAAGAAAAATACAAATTCGTTTAAATAAATATGAGAAGGAGTGCATCGCTATTGACGTCATCACTCAATAATAAATACCTGATTTTTTTTCTATACCATACTTTATTTAAATAAAAAATATTTCTTGAGAATGGAAGTGATTTTCATATTTCTAACAGCGACTGTTATTATTACTACATGTTCAGCAAGAATTTATTCAACTAGTACTAGTAATGGCAGTACGCTGTCGACTGCTGCGACTATAGGTATTGTAGTGGGCAGTGTTGTGTGCATTGTAATTATTACAATACTATCGGTCTTTTGCAAAAAGAAACAAGCGAAAAGACGAAGAATAAATAACGTTCCTACAGCAATGCAAATGGCGGCTTTGGCCCAAGAAGAAAATCGATATAAGCCACCAGGTAGTAATCAAGTACTACCGTATAGTCAACCACCACGAACTTCTGCGCTTAATAATGCAGCACAATCGTCAAAAATGACGCCAGTTTCGTGAAACACATTTTTATATGAAGAAGTTTTTAATAGAATCAACTATAAATGTATAATCTTGTGAAAAAAATCCAAGTGAATCATAAATTTCACAAATAGTAACTTTAGAATGATTTCGTACAATCTATGGATTTTTATTACAAAATTTTATATTTAAATGAATTTTTCTATCTGCATCGCTCTTATTTGATCAATCATATTTAACTTTTGTTTGATTACTTAATTGTGTATGTTATAAAGTTAGAAATATACTCTATATTATTAATAAAATATAAAGAAATTGATAACGATTTTCGTACAATGCAAAAAATAAATAGAGGTATATGATTATGAACAAAGTTTACTGCAATATCTTGAGTATGTGTGATAAATTTGCGTGGTGTTCGTAAGATTGTAAATAATATTATAGAGTCATATTGAAATGAACACACACTTATTTCATGTTACCTTGGATTATAAGTTTAGACTGTAAACGTGCGACGGCAAATGTATTCATACAGATCTTTTTTTTCTTCTTTTCTCTACTTGAAGACATGTGTTCGTCATTATTAATGTTTTAAAAGATCTTCTCACTGTTTGCTACACAAAGAAATGGCCTACTGGCAAAAACTCACATCATTTTTTTTATTAATGCATTTTGTGTTATACGAGAACATGTAGCAAAATGTAACTCATCTATAAAGTAAAGTTGATCCATTGTTGGTTTTGCTAAATTTACATTTCTGTCTGTAATACAATCACAATTTTGTCAATCGATTATAGGGTGTGGGTGTGGAATGAAAAGAATATTCAAACCCACTCACACCCTTAACAATCGATACAATAAATTAAAAAAACGCTTGAATAACAAAATATATTTTTTATTTTAAAATATTTCTTATAAGCATATTAAAACAAACGAAGAGTCAAATGAGTTTTGAGTCAAACTATTGTAGTACCAAAAACTTATTTCGTAACATTTCCATTTTCACTTGAAATAACTTGTCAAGCTGACATCGTTTGTAAAACTTTTTCGCCAAGTATAAGACTTTCTGTATTATTCTTTTTTCGCTCTGCAAATGGATATACTCGAGAAAGAGTTTCACATTTCACTATCATTGGTTGTTCAAAGAACATATTCGTCGTATATGGTGCATAACCTCTAACATAACATTCACTTTCCACACGAGGAAACAAAGGTGGATCCAACTCTTCAAAATAGCCGAATGGACTTCGCGGAGCAGGAAGCCACAGCGAGCCAAGTGGTCGAATACTTAATGGAAATACAACAGATTTTCTAATATGATGATGACAACAAAGCGAATGATTCCAAAGATGAGTTTCGTTCTCGTAATAGTAAAATATATCAATAAACGGATAAAAGTTATCAGGCCAGCTCACTTTTGATTCTGATTCAGGAAAAATCTTTGTTGGTCCATGTTTTAAACTACCCGGTCGCATATACATAGGCACTTTGTGTTGCTCTCTCGGAAATTGACGTTCAAGAAGTTCTTTGTCTCTTTCAGGTACAAAAAAGTCCAAATCTTTATCCCATGGAATGATATCCCAGTGACGCACCGACCCAACCAAAGACCCACCAATCATCCAGTATGTAATGTTATAACGCTCGCAAAATGCAGAAAAGGCTCGAACAACATTCATTCCAATCATATGTTGACAGGGAGTTAATACACGATTCACTGCTGCATGCGTTTTCCAGTTTGTATATGAATAGTTCTTGTAAAGGCCACTAAGTCGAGATACCGTGCTAGGTATCTTAATGTGTATCGGTATATTATTATTATTTAATATATCTGAATGATTCAACATATGAGAACACGTAAGTTTTAAATATGTTTCATAAGCTTGTCTTATCGATACATTTATTTCTTTTTTTTGATGGTCTGTTGGTTGCAATAATTTGATATGGAGCAACACGTTTATGAGGAAACCAATTAAAAAAATAATTGGGCCAAAAACCAGTAATTTTCGACGTAACATTGATTTTAAAACAATAGTGTATCTATAAATTATTTAAATAGAAAAGAAAGAGAGAGAATGTTACCTACTTAAGATTTCATTCAGAAATTCATTAATGTCATTGGTCACTCGAAGACAATAAAATAAGAACAATTCAGACGAAAAAATTGTACTCGATGAACTTTTGTTTTATATCTAAACTAAAAAGTTTCTCTGTAGATCCGTTCTTTCATTGATAATGCATTAACTTTCAACAGTTTAAAGTCATGGGTTACTAATCTCTTAACGAACAATTACTTATTCTACGATAAAGATATACATACACTGTATATGTTGTTATACTGACTGATACATTATAATAGTTTCTTCGATCGATTTTGCATTACTATGATTCATATATCTCGCTTATTTCGTACCTTGTATATTATCAAATTAGTATAAATAAAAACCGTCTACTTATAATAACAAATGCATCTTTGTCTTTTTCATCATTAACCACCATGTGACTTTTCACTTCATATTATACGAATGAAACAAAAGATATGCACGATAGTGTTTATTTTTCGTTAATACCTGAATATTTTATTCGCTTTTTTTTTCATTCCTTTCGTATTAAGTAGTGTTTGTATGTTATAAACATATTATACACCTTATAGTATTATGTAAAGCAATATAAGACATATATTGAAAATAGTTTAATAACGAAAACACTGATTTTATTTCTTGATTGTATCAGTGTGGATGATGTGATTATTAAATATAGATTGCAATCATATTCAGAGTTTAGCGGTATTCACAGGAGTGTCCCGAGATTCAAAATGATTGCGGGGCTGTTGATAACTTCCTTAAAATTTTCTGAAAATTTTGTAAAAATATTCAAACATTTTCGAAATTTTTTCTAGAAGTTTTATTAATTTTTCAGAATTCTTAAAAATTCTTGTAAACTCTTTAAAAACTTCGATAAATATTTCTAAAATTTTCCAAAATAATCATAAATTATCGAGCAAAAAAGACAAAGTTTCCGAAGATTGGGGGACCGTTGTGGACCCAACAATCCCCATCGGGACACTCCTTGTCGTATCTGTGGTTGTTGAGTTTTTTTTTAATTCGTTGCTTAGCTTTAAATGAAATTGGATTTCTAGCTTCACTGAATTGATCATATTTATTGATTAAATCATTAATAAATAAAGAAATCGCTTCTTTATCTTCCTCTTGTTTCAATTCTTCTCTTGTTTAACTATAAATGCTTGATTATTATTCACAATAACACCCACATCCTATTCGACTATTGAATTACCTCAAGCTGACCCAGTCAGACAAAATCGATATAGAACAAGCTTTTACGCCTCCAAAGCGCACATTTTAACGCATAAAAATAGCGTATTTTAACGGTTGTCTGACTAGCTTAAAAAATGTCGTTTTTATGCGTTCAAAAATGCACATTTTAACGAGTTATTAACGCGCTTTTTGATAAGAACAACAAGAAAACGCGTGAAAATATGGGCCTTTAAATGCGTAAAAACGCGTCTTCTTACCGATTTTGTCTGAATAGGCTATTTTATCTTTTTGTAATGGAATGAAAAATAGAATAAAATAACACGAGAGAACAATTCTAAATAAAGAAATAAAAAAGTCTGAAATGACACAACAGCAGTTATTATTGACAATAAGATTAGTTCAAAAAGAGAGATGGATGAAGGAATCAATATATTGTAACTCTCTCAACTACACAAATCATCGACAAAAATAAAAGAAAGAAATATAACATCTGTATTGAAAGGGAAGAAGAAGATTAATAACCCATTCTTCTATCAGTATCTTCGTCTTTTTGTTTCACCATCATATAATATAACTCAAAAAGAAACAAACTTAACTAATTTTTACATCGTTAAATAAAATATTTTAAATATTAAAAGTTTTATTTTGTTTAAATTTATTTTTAGAAATTTTACTCTATCAAAATATCACTTTATATCATATTAGGTTTATCATTATATTTTTTCATTTGAATTTTAACTTAATGTCATCTTCATAAATAATTGAAATCAGATCTTAAGGACTTTAAATATAGTATTTCATGTAATATAAAATAAAGAAGAGAAAATTTATAACTTAATTATGATCTTTCTATTAATACGTAATGAATTATGTTGTTCGTGATATTTAAAAAAGTAAACGTATCTGTAAAACTTCAAAGACAGACCGACGCATTTTCGCACGTATTAATTTCTACATTTAAACTTATTCTGGATCAATGTGACATAAATATTATGCTGATAGTGATTTTAATCTCTTGTTCATATAATAACGTGTCCTCTTTTCTTTCTTACTTTCTTCTTCCGTTTCCTTTCCTTTTCTTCTCTTTCCTTCCGTCTCTCATGTAGTCGGTTGTTACATTATGGTGTCATTATTACTATTATTTTCCATTTTAATGTTTTTTTTTGCATTAAAATGAAAAATAATGGCTATAATTACACGATAATGCAACAGTCGACGACATAGGTTGTTCTCATCCGTTAAATATGATATAGGTAATGTGCATTCGTACAGCACATTTTTCATAACGTGTTATGTTATCCTTCTCGTGTTTTTTTAGTTGAAATCTTATCTATTTCTTTTTTAGGCGATATATTATATAATAGAAGAAGTAGACGAGAGAGAGTTAGTTACGGTGGACTTATATACCTAAGTGTTATAGTGTCTTTTGCCTATTATACGGTGTATGAAGTTTTCTTAGTGTTATAAAAAAGATCTATTCAGTCAACAAGTATAGTTTTTATTAGACTAATTAATAATCTCATCTTGTTTTTACCTTACAGATATTCGCCAAAAGGATATTTTCTTGAACTTGAATCTGTTAGAGAAATTTGAAATCCACTTTTCTCGTAACTCGGAAAAAAGAAGAAATTATTTTTTAAAATCATGAACGCATAAATAAATATGTTGTTCATTTATTTCCAGCATCGTTGATAAAGCGGATGAAAATAAATAATGTTTTTTAATTACTTTTACGCATCTAGTGAAAGCTTCCTTTATGAACATCATTGAGAAAAAGGAGATCATTTTTCTCCTTGACACTTACTACGTGTTCTCATTTAAAGCCTCTAAGTGAGTGGGTTTCTCATTATCACGTGATAGATTTAAATTTCATAACTGCGATTTATAAGGTAAACGATGGCACTTCTCGGCATAGCTAACTTTAGAAACTAATGAGAAAAATGCCTAAATTTTGTTATATGAAGTTTTTAGATTACTACTTGCGATGGGTTGCTCATCATCGAATAGTCAATTACTCGTCATCGTGCCCAACAGTGAGCAAATCGATGGAAGAAAAGTTTTATTACTCAAGTCAGCTGATCTTCCGCCGAGACGTTTCGTGGAAAATTGTGTTATTCTCTTGGTTAACGATGGATCTTCGACCGATATCGTTCAGGTAAGAGCACAGTTATGGAAAACTGTTTATACAACGAGGATTTTTACCGATTTCGAGGAGTGTCATACTTTCATGAAAAAAACTGAAGATGAAAAGTTGTTTCTTATCGTTTCGGAAGCGACTAATCGATTTGTTGAAAACGTTCGTCATCTACCACAGCTGGAAAAAATCTACGTTTTCGATTTAGTTACTCGTAAAATAGTTGAAAAGGAAGAGCAAACAAACATCTTTCGAGATTCGACACTTCTTTGTCAGCAACTACAACATGACATTGAATTATGTGAACTCGATTGTGTCGCTATCAACGCAGTTTCCTTATCCCATGAACGTACGATCTCGTTTTCAAATGCTACTAAACAAGAAGCATCATTTATGTTTCTCATGTTAAGAAAAGAACATTTGATTCGATATAAATTCGAAAATGAGGCTAAAAATGAGTTTATCGCTTTTTGTCGAACAAATTATGCATACAACGACGAGCAAGTGCAAGCCGTTGATGATTTCGAAAAAAACTATCGTCCACAAAAAGCCCTTTGGTGGTTAACACAGTCACGTTTTATCTCGCGAATATTGAATCGAGCTGAATATACGAAAGAATTTGACATTATTTACAAGATTTCCTTCTTTCTCAAACACGTACAGACTCAATTAACTATTCGACATAACAATACTCTCGGACAGATGCAAAATATTTTAATTGTATATCGTGGTAAGACGATGTCAAACGATGAATTTGAAAAATTACTGAAAAGTAACTGTGGTGGACTTCTTTCTTTTGCTAATTTTCTCGAGGCCAACATCGATAAGGATGTTGCTCTTGACTTTGTTCGTCGCCGTCGAATAATGCATCATGAACTTACAGCGATTATCTTTGAAATACACATCGAACCAACTGTATATAGTACGAAAAGTCCGTTTACTCTACTCGATGATGAATCGAAAAAAGGCGTAGTTTGCTTCTCCAGAAGTACTGTATTTCGTATCCAATCTATTACACAAGCTATGGATTGCTCGGCATTATGGACCGTAAAACTGACATTGGTTAGTGACAATGATGAACAGCTAATGCGTCTTATGAAACTCATAGAAAACAATGATGTACTTGCCAATCCCTTGCCATACATGGGTACGCTACTTAAACTTATGGACGAATATCCACGTATCGAAAAATTCTATCTTGCCTTGCTCAGTGATACTTCTGTTCTCAATCAGCCATCTCGTCTTGGTCGCGTTCATACTGGTCTCGCTGCCAGTTATAAATACAGAAAAGAGTATGCTAAAGCGCTTGAGCACTTTCGAAAATCATTAGAGATTAGTCTAAGCTATTTACCACCTGAACATTCTGATCTTGTACCTCTATACGACTCAATTGGTGATGTTCAAAGGGAACTAGGTAACTACGTACAAGCGGTGGATAACTATGAGCGTGCAGTGACATTACTCGAAAATAATCGGCAAATGAGTAATGATTCACTTATTGAAAGTCTACACAAACGTATTATCAGTACACAGAAATTACTTGAAGATAAACAATGAATTCTCATCGAATTATTTATTTTATAATGGAGTGTGAGTGTCTTCTCTTCACCCATGTTCATATCCACTCTTACATTCCAAAATAAAATGAATGCATAAAGCCAATTTTTATGTTCTATGTATTCATTTTTTTCTTACACCCACACCTTCAAGACGTATTAAAATATTTCATAGAAAAGAAAAGTTCAATGGCAATGTCACCACATCGCAGGGTAGATTTGGTCGAATTAGGATGATCATGCCAATATTTATAAGCTCCATGTTTTTCAATAACAATTTGAATCATTTTCTCGTGTGATGCATATAAATTATGATCACGATCAAGTCGATACCATTTTACGTGTGACGCATCATTACCTAGAGAAAATACCCAAATAAATTAATTCTATTTTGATTATATGATATTAGAATCTAGTTGCATCGTACTCTATGAAAAAATGTTCGTCTAACAATTATCGAACCTGACACGTAGTAGAAATTCATATATCATTAGAACAAATATATTTACCAGCTTCTAATTTCAAATCTTTTGTTAATTCACCCGTTTCATCATGCATATTGGTAGCTTCAGTTTCAATTCAAGCATTATCTAAAGCGATAAAAATAGTCATTTTATGCTAAATATAATAATAAGATTTAAGCGGACAAGTTTACCCGTATTTCTTGGATCATCAACATAACCCTTATAAATCTATTAAAAATCAACAAAATATGATTTTAATCCGAGATAAAAGTATATTTACGGAAACAGCTGTTTTAAATAGTTCATCAACATGTTTAGCACCATCGGCATTAGAATTTATAGCTTCTTGAATAAATTCTCGTTTGATTGCTGCTGATACATGCTCACTAAATAAGTAAATTGCCATCAAATAAGAAAATATTAGAAAAATCGATACCCTGCATTAACCATTCCACCTGGTATAGCTAATTCTCCACTGTCTCTTCTATTGATAAGTATAATTTCTAGAACTTTTTTTTTATCGTTGTGTTCAGTTTTAGCCCAACGTGTAACAATTGGATCACCAGCATGATTTGGTCCCCAGCGACCAAGTAAACCACGACCAGATACTAAAAACAAATTAATGTTACTTTTTATTCCTGCAAAATCTCGTTTTCGTTTAATAACATACATCCAGTGCGACCTTGAGGATTCTTTGGTCGATTCGTTTCTTTGTCAATTTCATATTTTCCTATGAAACTTGTTCGATCAATGTTTTCATCAACTTCATTATAATGTTTAATTTTTTTTCTTGAAAAACAAAAGAAGAAGATTTCAATTCGAATTCAATTGATCTTACGCATCAGAATCATCAGCCCAGACTGGTTTTGTCAAAACAAACTGTTCCGTATATTCTCTTGGCTTGTAATCAGACCAATTAACAGTCCACGGTACTTTATCATCAAGTACTGGTGTTCTCTAATACAAAGAGAATAATGAAATATATTTTTTGTATAATAAAATCCTACGGAAATATCAGTGGTGCCAGGATAAGGCGATGTTCGAGCTTTAACATGAATACTTGTCATTGTTCTCAGTTGAATAATACTAAAAATAATCTGTGGTTTACAAGTTTATAAAATAAGAAAAAAAGTATTGAATAAGAGTAGATGTGTCGCAGTTTACTTTTTTCAAATAAAGAAATGAAAAATGATGGTGACACACGTGTCTTTTTCTTTTCTTGTATTGACACAAACAATCGTATGTTCACATGCGACTGTCTTCAAAACAAGATGACACAATAAAAAGGGTTGTAAAAAACTCAAAAGTGCAAAATGCGACGATTTAATCTTCCTAACTTATTATATAATTTTTCTTTTCGATTCACTCTTTTATATTTCTGTTTTTAATGTTTTTCGAATTTATTATTATGAAGCACACTCTATGCGAACAACAGAAAAAAGAAACTGTGTCTGATTACTGTATTACTTATAAATGAAGTGTCACTAGCAATATGTAGTTTTTTTTTAAATTTTATTAAAAAACATATTCTTTTAGGGTAACGAAGAATAAAATGGAAGAAAAGAAAAAAAACAGTTATTATAAATAGTTTGGTGCTCTTCAAGGACAAAGCTGCTCTTACTGAAGATATTATAACGAAGACCACTTTGATAATCAATATTTCGAATGAATAACTTAGATCAAGTGTTCAAAAGTTTCGAATATGTTCGTCTAAAAGCAACTTCTACATTCATATATCGATGCCATCTTGAGAATTAGAATGTAGATATTGAAAGGACGTCATCATCCGTTCCTTATTATTTTTATACTCATGTCTAAACTCAAACCATTTTGAAGGTGTAAATTGGTCTTTATTCAACTCACACATCATCATCGTTGAAAAAATGCCTTTCCATTTTATTTCGAAAAAAAAGAAGCAGTAAAATATATTCTGATTAAGTGCAAATGCGATGCATTTCATTCGAGATTTAAGCGTTGAGAATTAAAGCACCTGATGAAGATGTTCTATTGTCATAACGGCCTACGATGCATATAGCATACCAGTGTGATTTATTAACTGAAATCACACGTGTTATTTAGATAAGACATATATAGTTGTATGAATATAAAGGAACAGAGTGATATTCAAAATAATCCAAAAAGAAATAATGCATACTATTACGAATATTTTTCTTGCACTCTTACTTGTGCTATCAGTTGCTGGTTTCGAATTCGAAAATATCGATGAGAATCCCAATGAGCAGTTGATGGCTGGTCGCGGTTATGTCGACTGCTTGATCTGGTATGCTACACAAGGCGATCCCAATAAACTTCTAGCCAAGACAAAGAAGCCATACTGTCAGGTACCAGTAACGTTTCCCCCAACACTACCTGGTGATTGGTCGGTAGATACTTCTTGTGATGCTGCGAAACAGCCAAATACTTGTTCATTACATGCTGGTGCTTACTGTTGTTATCGAAATGCATTAAAAAGTACAGGACCAGGTGCACAAGCATGTTATGACAAGTCTGGTCAATGGATTTCAGATCCATGGTTGGGTGCTGGTACAGTCGATAAAGAAACCCCATTGGGTAACATCATACAACAAGCAAAGCACGGTGTGGCCGATGTTATTCCATATTACAGTTGCTGTGTGTTGACTCTCTTTGCACCGCAACCCGAAACTTGCAATCGTTATTACGAGAAACGACCACCTGGTCAATGCGAAGGCAGCGTAATGGTTTAAAGTTCTTAATACTTAGCTTCAGTTGATCTTTTCAGAAATAAATCATGTGAAGCTCTTTTGCCACAAATATGCATATATGAGAATGATGACGCTTGATCACATCAAATCTCAATGTTTAGTTTAAAAAATAAGACTTAATTGAACCTTCTATACAAAGAGATGGGGCTGTAACCCACATTGTTATAACTCAAGGATAGAAATTTATGCTAGTAGTTACTGAAAATTCAAATACTCGATCATTTAGTTACGAGTCAGAAGAATCGAAGTGACGAGCATTAGTTGCGTTTAATCAAAAATATCGAAGAATATTATAAAAAAAATCGAGTTTTTTCTTAAGGATATGTGTGAATATGTGTGACTATGGATGCATATGTCGGTATAAATAAGAAGTAAATCACTTACACCTTGTCAAATTCTACGGTATCAGATTTCGACTGTGCAGTGGTTGATTCTGAGATATAAAAATCTGATGAAAAATTTAGAAGATTAATAAATCAACGCCGATAAATAGTTATTAGCAAAAATTAAACAAATAAATTGATCGTTACATCAAATATATTTTCTGTACAATTTGTATATAAATGTCACATTTTATTTTTTCAGTCGAAGGAAATGAGAAAAACATACAAGCCATTTTCTATGAACACAATTTGCTCTCATTACTATATTCTTCTTCCTGAAGAAAAAAACTTATTTCTTCTTACCTCCGTCTTTTTCTTCAAAAAAAAACTTGTTTATCATTGTTCATACATTGTCATTATTAGAATGAATATTTTTTATTCTCATACCTACCTTCTGTTCCCTGAAAAAAAAATATTTCTTCTTACTTCACAATTTTTTTCCCAAAAAAACTTGTCCGTCATTGTTCTTACATTATCATTACTGGAAGGAATATTTTTTTCTCTCATTCTTACACTCTTTTTGTCAGAAAAAATTATTCTCACTCTTATACGAAGAGAAGGGAATCATTTCATAACTTGACGGTAAGTTGCAAGTGTGGTGTTGTTTCTTTTTCTTTCAACAGATAGATGCAAAGATCGAAGCTTTATTCGAATATTTATCAAAACAGTAGAGTTTTCAGCTAGGCATACGAGTGAGCAAAATAGTTTCATATTCATATACTTCAGCATCAGCATAAACGAAATAAACTACTTAACCACCTTAAATATATTGAGGGTGTGGTGTGGGTGTGGGATTACAATACACTACTCACACCCACACCTCTCCATATCCACTCACTATCACCCACATTAAATTCACTAAAGTTTTGTGTATCATTGAATAATACAGTATAGGAAAGACAAATGTCAAGTGATACGGAAAGTCCAAAACGAAAGATTGTGATTACGGGAGGTGCTGGTTTTATTGGCTCTCAATTAGGTTCTGAGCTTCACAGACGCGGGCATGAAGTTATTCTTCTGGACAACATGTCATTCGGTCATCTTGATAATCTGATTGTGGACGGCAAAACATTTGGACAGCTAGTAGTAAAAGACATCCGAGATCCAGATCTAAAAAGTGTATTTACCGGAGCACATACAGTATTTCACTTTGCTGGTGTAGCTGCTTTACCTCTTTGCCAAAGCGAACCACAATATGCGTACGATGTTAATGTTTCTGGTACTGCTAACGTTCTCGAAGCTGCACGTTTGTCGGGTGTCTCAAGAGTGATTTTCTCTTCAACTTCTGCTGTTTATGAAAACAGTACTCACGAAGTAGATACCTACAAAGAAACAGACTCTATACAGCCGGATTTGATTTACTCGATGACTAAGGCTGCATCTGAGGACGTATGCAAAGCATATTCAAAAAACTATAATATGGATATCATCATTTGCCGTTTTTTTAATGTCTATGGACCTCATCAAGACTTTCGTCGAAAATCACCACCATTTACATCATATGTGGCTCGTGAACTTGCATTGGATAGACAACCCACATTATTCAATCAAACAGACGCCAAACGTGACTATATCTATAGTTCTGATTTAATCGCTCTCATGTTAAACATGTGGGCGAGTACAGATACATTTCACGCAGAAATATTTAATATCTCAACAGGTATGGGTTGGTCGGTACCAGAATTATATTCTAAATTATGTACTATCGCCGATAAAAACATATCAGCAAATTATAAAGATCCAACGTTGTTCTGGGATAAATACAAAACTTTAACCGATGCGCCTTATTCGCTTAATCCCAATCGCATTACAAAAGAAGTTCACAAGAACTGCGTAGGCGATGCTACCAAAGCTCGTAAGACTTTCAACTGGGAACCACAAGTCACTATTGATCGCGGTTTGTTCGAAGTATACAAATACACACAAGATCATTCCAGCTGCATAGATTAAATATATCTTTCTTTTGGACTCTGTCGTAAATACCCGAATTATTTCCTCGTAACGTTTTATTTACAATATTTCTGTTCGAGATGGATGTATCTTAATTATACAGTAACTCACATCCTTATCCCATTGACTCGTTGCATGAATTTTGAACTTCTTTGTAGATTTCAATTCAGTAAATTGAAAGAAAATGAAACTTTACAGGAGGTAAATCGATAAACCAAAGATGTGGGTATAGACAGAAGATTCGTGTCATACTCACACACACAAACATTTTTCTCTTTCATTTGAAACGAAAAAATATGTTCCAATGAATATTTAATTAACTTTATTTTAATTGAAAATATATAAAACAGTCTTGACTTAGATAAACAAAGAAAAATAATTAATCTCAATATTTGACTTTTCGTGACAAATCGATACGATTATCCACTGACGAAGATCGTTTATTTTTAATGGTACGAGGAAACGATATTGGATTTTTCTTTTTTCTCCGTAAAGAATTCAGATGTTGTTCGTGTTCTGCTTTGATTTTTTCAAATTCATCAATAATATTCTGACATATTTTTGGATCAAAGCCTGAAATGTTTGCGGCAGTTTTGGCAATTAAAGAAACTTCTTTATCATTTGCATTCTGTATTTCTTCATTATTTGCAGTTGATAACGACGAAGTGGCATTGTAAAGGTTAGGTGATAGACGTCTACCTTCCTTTTTATAATTATCTAAAACATTTGTTGCATTAGCATAAACACCTCGACTTAACCAAGTAATAGATGAAAGAGTACTAAGACCAGGTTTCATCCAAATATTCACTGAAGCTATTACTGATCCTGCTGCACCACCAAGTATACCATGTCGTTTATAACCAGCGCATGGATGTGTTATCATGCCCGTAATACCCTCTTTCCAACCAGTCCATAAGGTTAAACCAGCTGCCTTCGCACCTGATTTAAAATCAATTATAATCGGTCGTGAGCGTGATTTTGAATTACTACTATGAAATAATATAGAAATAATTAGAAATATAAAGTATCTTACCTATAAGGATCATATAAATAAGGTAGATGATCAAGTATATCGGTTAATTCACCATATAATGCTAAGGATCCAACTGTTAAATGACCTATACCTAAGCCAACACCTTTAGCAACAGTTCCTGCACCTCCAAGTGTTGTTCTCTTGTTTATGTTTTGAATGCTACTTGTTCGCTTCAATTCTGTTGTAGTATCAACAAACATTGTAGAAATAGCTTTATGAGAATGTTCCCATAAACCATGCATGATTATATGCGTATGATTATCATGTTTGACATGCCATTCTCGTGTAACATGTGGACGAAGTTGACTTTCTTCTAGAATATTTGATGATACTAATACTTGTGCTACTGGTCGTGATATCTGTATGTTATATTTATCTGAACGATAACAGGCAGCAAATGTTGGTTCCAAATCACTGTGCATACGTGTCAAGGGTAGATTAGAATGAAATGCACGTACTGCTGCCGCACATCCGTCTTCTTTCAGAATAGAATCACGAAGACTTTCAGCAGCTACGCATGTCGTTGGTTTATGAACAAAATGAAATGCTTGAATTAGTTGATCTGTAGTAATTGACTTTCCTGGAACTGGTTGAGGACCAGCGCCACACTTAGCAATGACAGTACCCCAAAAAAATTGATCGCCAAAAAATGGTACAATAATTGTTGGTTTACCAGCACGTAGACCGGCAGCAGTTGTACCTGCGCCGCCATGATGACATACAGCTGATACTAAAAAAGAAACCGAGATGAATGTGCATATTTTTAATCTATTAACTCATGAAGAAAATCGTTACTCACCATGTTGAAAAAGCCAATCATGTGGTACATTTCCAATTTTAAATATATTCGAAGGTAGATGATCTGTATCAGTAGCAAGACCGGATAATAATACTCGGTATCCAGTCAAATTAACAGCATCAATAATAACTTTAAGAATACGACGAGAATCATGTCCTGCAATAGAACCAAAACCGATATAAATTGGCGGTGATAATTTTGATTTGTTATCATTGAGCTGAAGAAAATCGAGTAAATCCTGAGGTGGATTCGTATAAGCAGTACCAAGATCCAAAAAGAAAAAGCCAGAAACATTGATGTGTGCTCCCCAATCATCAGGTTTAGAAACAAGTGATGGTGACCAACAATAAGTATGTGGTACACGTTCATCATTTAACATATTTATTGCTTGACTAGTATTTAAAGTTGAAAGACCTAATGTTTTCTTACGAAAATTATTAATTATATCCCGCAAACCAGTCCATGTCTAGAAAAAGAATAATTTTTGGAGAAAAGTTAGTTTTATTTCGAACTTTATTTTAATTTACCAGCGTATCAATAAGATCGTACGAATATCGATTAATTACTTTTCTTGATCCTGTTGAATTATCAATGTTCGAACATGGATGTGGAAATGCTGCTGTTGTTGTCCAAGGCATAGTAAACATGATATGTAAAGGAATTTGTAATTTTTCTGCACAATGAATATGACCAAATGATGGTGGATTAGCAATAATAGCTTCAGCTGTAAATGGCATATCTGTTTCATCATCATTTGCTATGCATGCTTGCCATGTAGAAGCAAGAATATCAGCTAGAGATCGACGTTTTTTGCCAACATCTCCTGCGATAATACTACTCATTGACGGAATAATACCAGCATTTTTAACCATAAATGAAATTAAATCAGCTGGATCACCAGCTAATGGATAAAATTCAAGACCATTACCACGAACAAATGATCGAAATGTTTCATGTGTTGCTAATCGAACACGATGACCATATGCTCGAAGTGCTTGACCGAGACTAGCAAATATCAAATAGAATATTTTCAATTTTAAAAAAGATATTTCTTAACTTACGCAATAAAGGGTTGCACATCTCCTCTTGTACCAACGAGGAGTATTACAATAGCTAAACGAGGTATAAGAAGATCACTTTTTAGTTCTTCTATATTTTTTTCATTTTGATCATATGAAACAAATTTTGGTGATGATGGAATTGGTTTTAAAGATGCTTTGTATTTTCTTGTGGATTTAAATAAAACATCAATACGTCCATTAGTATCATCAAGACTAATTGTATAATCCAAAACTTCATTTTTATTTTGTTCTTGAGTTTTATTTTTGTTTACAAATTCTTCATTTACATTTATTTGTCCTGTTGCACAAATTATTTTACCATGTAAAATAAGACGAGCATGAAGAGAAAGAATAGAATTTGAACAGCAAATCACCAGGATATTTTCATTATGTAATAATTTTGAAGGTAATTCAATAGGATTGGTTAATGACATAAATAAACCAGAAAATATTTTTGTATTATTGAGCCATATGACGACAGTAATATTCGTTGAAACAGATCTGTCATTTAGATTATTATTAGGTCCAAAAACAAGTTGAATTTGTTGTTGTATTTGATTGTCGATAGATATCCAATCGAATTTTTTATAATACCACCATTTGTGTAAATTTATTTCTTCAAATTTCTTAATATGTGGTAAATTTATTGAGGACCAACAGGGATCTGTAACTATATTATGTACAACTGCAACCATACTTTCTTGATCGATTTCTTCACTCGCAAGTTGACAATAACATTTCCAATCGTTATTAAAATCAATATTCGTTAAATCTTTTTTGTGTGCTTCCATAATTTCCATCTGTCCTTTTTTATCAACCATAAATAGAATCTACTTTCTGAATAATAACGTATGTGCTGTCACCATCGTTCTCTTCTTTTATACGATCACTCATCACCGCGAACTTTTCTGCCTTACTGTTCTCTTTCTTTTCTAACGACCACATCACAAGCAATATATTATCTAATATGGCATCTGTCGCATATTGTCACATCAAAAGAAAAGGAAAAAAAGTGCTATGAGTCATCGTGAATGCGGTTCTGTCATATAAAGTTTTGAATCGGTGCGAGTCATTTTAGTACTCAACACGCACTCAAAGTGTGCTGCATAAATGAGTCATTCAATATCTTCGATGCTATTATTAGTCAGAAAGCAACAATATAATCAGGATATGACAAATATAAAACACAATCAATGTGTAGCATGTAAATATGATGAATGACGTAGAATACATTTTTCTTTATCAAATGAGTCATTTAAGTTTAAAAATGTATATATATATCTACGTTAACAGCAAACTTATTTCGATCAATAATCAACAATGATAGTGGAGAGTGCGTGTGGGTGTTAGTAAACGTAAAAAGTAATTAAACACCCACACCCTCATATTATTATCTTCTGTATATTTCTTTATTACATACAAATCAAGTATACATTAAATAAAGATCAATGAATTTAGAAATATCCCAATTGCTTCCTCTTTTGGATTTTGAAGAGATAGTTGAATATTATTACTTTCAATTGTATAAATGAATACTATTATGACATTAAAAAGTCTATTATACTCATTCTCAATTTCTGATACAAAAAAAGGCATTTGTAATGGTGAAATCAATATTATTTTTCATATATTTCATTTTCACGAATTAAAATGAAGATTTCTATCAAAATCACGAAGTATAGCATACTATACTTAAACCCGTACTGACACCCATCTTTGATTATTCCTCGAGATCCACAAATGATCATTCCATCAAAGCTTTTCCAAAATTTCTTTTTGTATTCATATACATTACTCAAAAGTATGAAATATATCTGAACGTTAGTTCTACGATGAATATTGAATTCATGTATTTGGATGTGTTTTTGTTTGATTTATGTTTTCAAAAGGCCAAACAAAAATCATCTTTGTTGGACTGAACAAGTATTAGACCTTCTAGAGAATTTCATAGATTATCTTTTGTAAAAAAAAATAATTTGTTGATCAACACAACATGTTCTTCAAACAAAATCCTAATGAATGCTTCATATTATAATGGATTAATTACTTAAATTAATATTCAACATAACTCAATCTAATTGATTGTCAAACAATATTAAATCTCGTACATCTAAATTCTATTATGTATACAAACGCTTTAAGTGATTGTTGACAGTTTACATTTGTTTGACCTTCTTCACAAGATCTTTCATAAAGAGATAAGACCTTTTATGTCTGTATATATGCGTAGAAAAAAAAGAGAGATAAAACTACGGTATTATTATCATGTTGAAAGGTTTTGTAGTGAAATATAATGTAATATAGTTTTGAATAGAAGCATTACACTGCCAGTTATCGAAAAATCTATACTATTTCATTGCAGTAAATCATCAAACATAGAGAAAATGTCGATCGAACAAGGAAGCGAAGCTGACCAAGATACAAGCAAAAGATTGGTAGAAACCGAAGAAGAGATTGACTATCATAAACATAGGAATGTACAATATGGAAAACCGTATTTCGCTGTATTATTAGCCGCCTTTTCATCATTGGGTGGATGGTTTTTTGGTTATGATCAAGGTGTCACAGGAGGTGTTGTAGTGATGAGTTCATTTAAAAACGATTTCTGTGTTGGTATATATGGAAATACTAGTGTGTGCGATCTTCCTGTCGGTGCTTTGCCGTCTGAGTATCGACGATTTTTGCTACTTTATACATTGCTCTATAATGTTGGATGTTTTTGTGGTGCTGCATTTATTTCTTCATTTGTAGCCGAAAAATTCGGACGTCGAGCTATTCTTTTCACCGCCTCAATTCTTTTTTTCATCGGTACTTCAATGGTTATTTTTCCACCAGGAGGTTCGCAAAATTTAATGATTCTGATTCTTATTGGACGCATTATTGAAGGGGCAGGTGTTGGCTGTTCATCATTTGCATGTCCATTATATGCTTCAGAAATAGCTCCAACACATTTGCGTGGTATGCTTTCTGGTTTTATGCAAATGACTATTGTCACTGGTTTGTTTCTTGCTAATGTAGCTAATTTTCTATTAAAAAATCATCAATGGGGTTGGCGATTATCCAATGGAATTATTTTAATTGCTCCAATCACTATTATGATTGGTATCTTTTTTTGTCCTGAAACTCCTCGATGGTTATTCAAGACAAATGGTCGAGAATCAGCGAGGAAAAGTTTACAACGTATCCGTAAAACAACAGATATAACAGCGGAATTAGACGCTATTGCCGATGCTATCAATGAAGATGGTAATCAAATTTCAACTAAAGAATTATTAACAACCAAAAAAATGCTGCAAAGGCTTGGAATTGGTATAGGCTTACATCTTTTAAATCAAGGAACAGGTATTAATCCCATATTTACATATGGTGGTATCATCTACGAAAGTGTTCTTGGTAAAGGTATCATATCATTATTGATTCTGTCTGGTGTCAATTTGTTGAGTACTATTCCAGCCTTGTTTCTAATTGATAAACTAGGTCGCCGAAAACTGTTGATCTTTTTCGGTTTAGGTATGGTTATAGGTCATTTGGTGGCAGCCACTGTATTCGCTAAAGGTTGCAAGGTACACACAGTCATGAGAGAAGAAACTGTCATTTGTAAGACACATTCTGGTATACTTATGCTTGTCTTCACAGGTGTTTTCGTGGCATTTTATGCTCTATCTTGGGGAGCAGTTGTTTGGGTTTATGTAGCAGAAATTTTTCCTCTTAATGTTAGAGCTAAAGCTATTTCAATAACCACTGCAAGCAACTGGTGCATGGGAACTATCATGTCCTATATATTAGAATTGATTGCACCATTAGGAATACACGGTGTCTTTTATCTTTTTAGTGTTTTATGTTGCTTAGGTGTTGTATTCGTTTATTTTTTATGTCCAGAAACAAAAGGAATTTTACTAGAAGATATTGAAGATGTGTTCGATAATTTTCGATCGAGAAATGGAAAAATTACAAAACATCGTAACAATAATACCAAAAGGACAGTAAAACAAGAACTAAAATGATAATATATTTCTATAAATTATAGTTTTTTTGTTTCATCACATTGTTTTTACTCTTGTTTGTTTTTAGAGATGTAATAGAAAGACATCTTTCTTTAATATTAATGTACACCAATCAAGTTAAACTTAGTAACGTACATTTATTGGATGATATCATTGTGAATCATCGAATGCAACACGACGTATTTCTTTCTGTTCTGTTATGAAATTTACATTTTGATGATGTAAATTTTCACAATTGCTTCATATAAATAACAGCGAGAAAAACAATTTTTATAATGTAAAACTGTGCTGATCACAATGAGTTCTACCACTTTTAATTGTTTGGAATCACTCAGCAACGAAGTATTACTGGAAATTTTTGAATATCTTGATGCATATGATTTATGTCAATCTTTTTATGACTTAAACACTCGTATCAATACTGTTCTTCAATTAGTTCATTTACATATTCTTTACGATCCATCTAAAAATGATGCAACTATCTGGAATACACTTGCATCATTTTTCAATCCATCACAAATTCGTATATTATCATTGCATAATGATATTAATATTCATGAACGAATTCTAACTGCTCCAAAAGAAAATCTTCATTCAGTTTGTTTAAAAAATATGAATAAAGACAATATATATAAATTAATTCAACATTTTCCTAAACATAATCGAATCAAATGTTTCAGTGTAACCGAACCATGGAATTATTCTCGGTCGCATGGTAATTCTATGATTCATTTATTACTAGTCGAGCATGGACATCGATTTACCTCACTTGTTAATCTATCATTATGGTGTGCTACTCACAGAATAGATTTTCCTAGTGTTTCAGTTATTTTTCCGCAACTTCGACGCCTCTTAATAAATAATTGTGATTTTACATCAAATTTTCTTGGCTTTCTTCGTAATAATACACCTAATCTTCGATCATTACGATGTCTTCAAAGTTATTATGCATCAGTTACTTTAACAGATATTGTTATTCCAAATATTCGTGAACTACATATCTATGAGCCTAGTGAAATGGGTCATCTACAAAATATATTTTCAATATTTCCTTGTTTACGCCGGCTTCATACAGACAGACGTCTTAACCATTCCTCTGCAGCTATCGGTGCTAGTGCATGGCAATGGTTAATTGAAAATCGTTTACCTGATTTAAAACAATTGACTATCAATTTAGATGATGGTGTCAGTCAAGAAGCAGTTAAGACATTTTATAACGGTGACTTTTGGTTACGAAAAAAGATTATTATGAAATTGAAAATAAATAAAACATCTGGTTCAAATCCATTGGTAACAACAATCTATTTTGGTAGACAATGGAGTTTTCAATATTTTGATAATCTATAATAATGACAAATAATATGATTAATCATCTTTTTCACTTATTTTTCTTCATTTATTATTAATCATATCGTAATAAATGTATAATCTTAAAGTGAATGTACTGTTTTCTATCCAGGAATAAGATTTTAGTAGTTTATTTCCTTTCAAGAGTAATGATACAACATAGTCTTATTGAGATCATTCGGAATATTAACAGAGGCTCTCTTTTCTGTTACCCGAGCCATACCATGAAACCTTCGTATTGATACAAAGAAAATCTTATAATCATGTTTATTATGAAAAAATTGTTTAACACTAAAATTATTGAGTCTGTATTATCTTATTTATTTTCCTCGTGTTTTTTAAGTAATAATCCATATGGTCGAATTGCGGTTGGATCAATAACACGCCAGGCATTGCCCTCGATAACACAACGAGTGTGTATGGAATATGAATTTGGTCGTACTCGACATTGAAAAACAACACAAAAGGTTTCCGTTATGTCACCTGTTGTTACGGTAAACGGTGCTGTATATTGAGGATAAGAACCATTGTTACAATACGTTGCTAGATAGAGTCCTGTTCCTTCTGCTGCCGCTCCTAATTGTTGAACAGCTTCTTCCTGCATAAGATCTCTTTTAGCAGCACCAACTGATAAGCCATTTTGAGTTATACTACTAACTGCACCTGAATTAGTACCATGAAAAGCAACAGGCCATTCACCAGCAGCATTAGTTGCACCGAGCCATACATTATCACTTCCGTATTTATCAGTAACATTAAGTCCATGACGATACCAATCAAGTGGCAAAAAATAGGGTTCATTACCACGCATTTGCTGTCTTGGCATACCAGCTTTGGCATAATCAAGATTATACCGTGGATCGAAATCACTCGGTTTCAATTGTAAATAAGATAAAACTGATTGCCATTTATAGTCATAACGGGCCGGTTTAATATAACGAAGAACTTTATCGCCTCTCAATCCATATTGAAGCATACCCTAGAAGTAATAGAATATATGATTAAGAATGTAACTATCATATTATACCTGTAAATCATGAGCTAATCTTTTTGTTTCATTTGGATCTGGTATAGTTAAACCGCATTTGACTACAGAAGTACCAGCATCATTCTTGGACTTTCTTACTGAAAAGACACGAACATAATCATTTTGGCATCCTAATACATTAGCGATAGCTGTCGAAAAATTAAAAATGAAATTTGCCATTGTGTCCGGTGATCGAGCGAGATCTCTGTTGTAGTCAAAGCTAACGTTAAAATTAAATATAGCTGTTGGCAAAGAATCAGTAGCAAGTAGATGAACACTGCCCATATTAGCTATACCACAAGCCATTTGTTCAGTGCTATCTTCAAATGATAAGTTTTTGTCTGTAAAACTTAATTCACCACCAAATTGTTTAGCAAATGCATTGAGTGAAAGTATAAGAGTTTCCGTGGATTGTTCGCCTACATCTAATGGTTGTTGATAGAAATTTGTTGATTTATCAGTTGCTGCTCGAAAGCGTGCCACTGTTTCGTATGGTTCTTTGTCAGAAACATTGTTTGGATACACAATATCTTTAATTGCTTCTTCACGATCATCAGGCTCAAACCATTTTGGAATCATTTGAAATGTTGTTAATTTATCTCCAATATGTATATTTGTAATTGTCAATGTAGAAGGAATTATAATACATCTGATTATGTTTGGAACAAAAGCAGATTTCGATCGAGATACTGCTGTTCTAGCTCGTTCAGATTTTTCTGGTGGTTTTGCACTTTTACCAAGAAGTAGTGAAGTTTTATAAAAAAGTTCATCAGCATCCTCATCGTCGTTTACATTTGATTTGCGAGCCGATGACATAGCAGTAGTTGGACGATTCATGATTCGACTTGTTGTAAAACTTTATAGCCACTCCTAAATATAAATAGATCATTAAGTGACAATTCTAAGAACTTTGAGAAAAAAATTGAATTAAGGACTAAAAACGTCCTTTTTTCTCAATAACTTTAACTAACATGCTGCATTTTGCGATTCTGCCTCTTTCTTTCTGATGCATAAAATTGCATTCATGTGTATTGGTTTATATAAAATTTCTAACTGAAGTAGACAGTAAAAACAATTTTGTTTACTTACCTTGAATACTTTCTTTTTCATTTCTTTCCAATGACACTACCTACATTTAATATTAAGTGGAGTATTTTTCATTTTTAAAGAAAAAAACATTTTTAATCACTCCTAACCGTTTGCATGAAAAAAAAATGTTTTTTTTTCAAATTGAATATATTTCGGCGAATGGGTCTTATTCCACGATCTTCAATGATAATTACAGTGTAGTCATATCGATTCACTTCATAGTTTCTGTTTTATCTTAATTTGTACGTAGATACGTGTCGTCAACTTAATCTTTATAGCGATGTTTGATCAAACATTATCTAGATGTAATATGCCTAACACACCATCAATAGATAATTGTAAAATAGAATTTATTTAATCGACAAAAAACTATAAGATTGATTTTATGCAGTTTGACTTCTAAACTGATAGATGAATAACGACAGTAGTAAATGATTTTAATATGGTAATATACTTCATCGATGTATATTCATTTCTTAGATTGAATACAAAATTAATCTAGCAAATAGATGCGACAAATCTGTAGATTGGTGCTTTATAAAATTCATTACACTTGAGATAAGCTGTTTTCTGTATGTTTATTAAAATATGTTAATAAATTTTATCTTCTTTTATATGGTTAAGAACATTTCTACTTAGATTTTTAAATCCTCCAGCTTTTTCTTTTAAATATATAATTGAACAATTAATAAAGTTTTTATTTATTTATATTTCAATATAAAATATTTAATTGAAAATTCATAGTTCTATTCATTTGTGTTCCGTTTGGTACTATAATATTTGATTGTCTATGTAGTTTTTTAGTTATTGATGCTTTAAGTGGTTCTGTAAATTCTAATAAAACAATCATTACAAAAACTAATGATATAGTAACAAAAATATAAGCAATTCGAAAATGATAGAATGGTGGTGAAGTAAAAAATGATACAATAATAAATGATGCATAAGGTAAACCAAGTATAACAATAATCATTGTTAATATCATTGTACGTTGAACCATTTTCAATTCACGTTGAGCACGAAATAAAATATTCACTGGTATTACACGTTTATTCATTTTTCTTACATATTGAATTAATTTCAAATAAATCAATATAATTAATGGAACAGGAATACCATAGACACATATTGCTACAAAAATCATTGTAAAAGACAATCGGAAAGGTATTTGACAAATCTGATTATTAACATTATAGATAATATCACCAGTAAATGTAAATGGTAAAGGAAATATAAATACATATATCCATTTTGTAATAATAAATATGAATTGATTTCGTCGGAGTTGCCAAAATAAACGTGCGGGATAAACAACAATTAAATAACGGTAAAAAGCTTGTAATAAAAATGAATAATTTAATGCAGCACATAAAACATAAGTTAAATAACCTCGAAATATGCAAAATATATCTTGATATTGATTTAATTGAAGATCACGTTGTAATGTAAATATAGATATCCAAAGTATATCACTTGCACACATAAGAATAGCGAAACATGAATTTGCAACAAGCATCATAGGAACTGTATGACAAGTTTTATCAAATATGATAATAATTAGAAAAATTATAGTCAATATAATGGCTATAATAAGACATATAATATTAAGAATATCGAAAGGAATAAACCATGATTCAATATTTATATAGTAGATGAGTTCGATATAGATGTGAAATTAGTTGAATTCATTTTTGAGAAAGGTATGAGTTGAAGAAAGACATATGAAATGTGACGTTGTCAAAAGTTTATCTATTGAGTAGATTATATGTAAGATTTTTAATACTTATTATCTTTTTTTCTATCTATTTTAGACAAGGAAGAAATGCATTAGATAATAGAAAAAATAGTTTTTCTTCATTATGAGTTTTTTGAATGACTAAGTATATCATATTCTTATCGATGTTGATAAGTTTCATCTTGAGGGGTGGGTGCGGGTACAGAAGTAGTTTTGAAAAATTATTGAAATTTTATTTAAGCATCGAGGTCTACGTGTTGTATTTAATCTTCTATAAGGCTATATAAAATCTATTTAATTATATAAAAATAAAATGAATTCTGAAAATAATGATCGATTATTTTCTAAATCAAATGATGTTATACCAAAATCTGTGAAGAAACAACTGAACATTTTAAATTATGGTATTATTTGTTGTTCAGCTTGGAAAATGTTCTTTCGGTGAAATGTAGAAAAAAAGGATTAATTAGTCAAAATAAAATAAGTTTTTATTTTTTTTCTATTTATAAAAATAATTTCATTGTGATTATGATGAAATTAATTTAAATACTCGTCATATATGTTCTGCTTGTTGATTAAAAAGATGTTTTTCAAATGGAATACAAACTAAATTAATTCAATCTTCATTATCAAAGCAAAAATAATAATATCATATATCTTAGTAAAATAAATTAATTTCTTTTTTATTTTAAATTTTAAGATTTCAACATTAAATCTTTTACGGTCAGGCCAATCAAATTTAATAATAGATCAATGGAATTCATTGTTGTGATGAATATGGTCCACTTTTAACCATTCAACAATATACATTCGAACAAAATCAACTTCTAATTAAATTATGTCATATAAATCTACATCTGTCGAAGAATTTAATTTGTCGATTTATACAAAAGTTCAACAAATATTTGAATAGAATGGTGATTATCAATCATTATCTTATCGAACAGTTAAACATACATCAAGTTATGCTGCAGAAGTTGTATCAAAGCAAATGAAATTATTTGATTGCCTATTATTCTTTAAAAATACAGAGATACTTTTTAATCCTGATGTCGTGAAATATTGTTTCTTTATTTTTTTCAATAACTTTTTTGACAATTTTTGAACATTATATAATAGACAATGAATGGAAAAAAAAGAAAAAATTGAGTATTAATTGATATTGTGTCTTCTTCTTCTAATAATTGAAAAACCAAGACATAAGCCATAATCAGAAGTGATAGAACAACTATTGATGTAGATGAAGTTAGCAGCCGGTTCGACTTTTTCTTAAACCGATTCGCCTGACAAGATGTGCCACTTATCGTTTGTTGTGTGTCAGGTAGAACTCGACGAGCTCTATCAAACGGTATGCCTAGATTTTTTACCAACCTTACAGAACGTTCCATAGTTATCAAAAATTGTTTTTTCTCTATGGGGACAATTTCATAAAAGTTGCATTTCCTAAAATTATTCGTTCCCTTGCTCTAGAACTTATAAACAAACATATATTCCTATGCATCTCGACTTGCTCTATCGATTGATATGTTCCTTTACACCTTTTAACTAACAATTTCAATACACTTGCATGAAAAACGTCGAAAATCACCATTTAGCACATATTTCATATATATATTCGCTCTAGAACGTGTGCCATAGTTGAAGCCGATTTCATTTGACTCAAAATGAAAAACTCTATCGAATGATGTATAATTCAACATATTTGAATCGATAAAATAGAGTTAAAAGCTCACCAAAATCTTTCATGCATATTGTAGCGTCTGCTACTCAACTTTCAAGTTACAAATACACATGTATTTGGTATAAACCTTGAAAATCAATCAAATCTCATATAATTCTATCATTTCCAATAAAATGCATTCTCAAATGAACTACAATTTGTTCATATTTATAGTTCTTCTCAAATTGTAGTCTCTTATAAACTCAATAGGTGTGCTTATTATTAAAGATTTACACTCGAGGTTTATGCTGCAATTTATACCAAAGGTGATATACATATTATTCGATAAATCTTGTTCAATTTTATCAGATAAAATATGGATGAGTTGCATCTATGATATCTTTTTAGGCATTGTATTGGAAATACTGAACAGGTATCCCTCTTCATTCTAAAATTTACCTTTCAAATTCATCTACATATATGTGCCAACGCTGATATGCATATCATTCGATAGATCTCATTTTTCTCTATCGAATGATGTATAATTTAATGTATTCGCTACTATCTTTCTTATCATATAAACTCAAAAACTGAATAGGTGTACTTATTATTGAGTATTTACTTTTTTTATTCATATTCACTTGTGTGCCAATGTTGATACCTACATCAATCGATAGATCTTGAGGGTGTGGGTGTGGGGTAGGTGAGTGTGGGTGTGGGTGGGTGTGGGTGGGTGTGGGTGGGTGGGTGTGGGTGGGTGTGGGTGAGTGAGTGGCTGTGGATGGAGAGTGTATATATTGTTGTCTTAAATCCATTATCCACACCCACACCCTCAAGTTTGACTATTAATTTGATAGATCAATAACGATAGTAATATCGGTCAGTAGTAAATGATTTTAATATGGTAACATACTTAATCGAAGTATAATCTTATGTAACTTTCACCTAAATTCATTTCCTAGATCAAAATTATAAAAATTAAATTGAAATTAAAAAATTAAGTTTTCTTTTTTTTTGTAAGCATATTCAATGAAATCATCTCAGTTGACTGAATCTGAAATGTTTTTTTTTATTATAATTGATCATTTATTTGAAGATTTGATATTAATATATTTGTTCCATTAAATAATTTTATGACAAAATCAGTTGAGAACAATGAATTTGAATTTTCAATGAATATACATAACCTTCTTTTCAGAAAAATAAATAAAGAAACAGACAAAATTTGTAAAAATCTTTATAACGTTTCTCAATTGAATTCAATTCATAAGTTTAAATAAAGGTATTCATTTGCATTTGGAATATTTTTAAGGAAAAATATAAATATTTAGCAGAATTCGATTCATATTGATTTTTATTTAAATGAACAATCGTTGTTGTTTTATTGGCGGAACATTGAGGTAATTCGATTAAATTTACAAATCATCAAATCAAGTTTTAAAGAAAAATATTCTTATTTGGATTAAAAAACTGAGAATTTTTTTTGTGTAATTTCAGATATTGAACTTTATTTATTGAAAAAACAAAAGATAATAAAAAATAGTTTGATTATATTAAAGAAAATGATTTTTTTCTCAAAATTTCGAAGATATATAACAAATTACTTGAGACAGAATTCTTTGAAGATGACCGATAAAGCAATCGGGTTGTGTTTCAATATAACGCATACAAATGAATAATGGAATTTTAACAATTATTCTTTCAGTGTAATCCAATTGATACATATGGATAAATTCTGCCAAAGTAAAACATCCAAAATTTAGTATGAATGTTTGTGGAATTAATGAAGCTTCAATTAACCAACGAAGAATATTAAAACTTGTTATTTTACAATTATTGTTAAATAATGGTAATGGTAAGCATATAGATAATAATATAATACTTATATAAATTAATATGAATTTAATTTCTTTTTTTAATATAATAATTATTGATGAATATCTATCGAAATTCATTATATGCGTTGAATAATATTCTATTCTAATATTTATATTATAAAATGGTAATAAGAAGTATAATATAATTGCTAAATAAAGGTAGAGATAAGTTTCAATTAGATATGTTATTAACATATAAATAATAAGATGAAGTTTCATATTATAAAAACAAAATATCACATTAAATTCAGTTGATGATGATGATAATAATGGATTTGAAAGTGAAATATTCATTTCTTTAATAAATGACATTTGATTCAAGAATAATAATATTCAATAATCATAATGGCTTGTATATGAAAGAAAGAAAGAGAGGTCATCTTATTGCATAGAGAAAAATATTATTCTCGTCTATTTTAGATTTATCATCTTTTTTCTTTATTGAATAATGGTCTGAACATAACACAATAGTCAATGAATGAGTGCAAAAAGAAAGGAAAGGATCATTAGTTGATATTGTTTGTTTTTATTTATGTTTAGACAGTTACAAGATAAAAGAAAGTTTTTTTCTTTATTTATATTTCAAATAATATCAGAATATTTTTTATAGTTTTTTGAAAAATTTATTCTTTGATTTATAATAAATCAATGATAGATAAACAAAAAAAAGTCAATTGAAAATCTTATTAGAAATTTATTCAATCAAAAGACAAAAGATAGAAATATTTTGAAAGAGATTTACAAAAACTGTAGAATAGAAAATTTGTTTTCTTCCGGATATGAAAAAAAGGATAACATTGCCATTATCGTCTATTTCTCATGAATATATTTAACTAGTGGGCGTACCCAATGTGTGTAAATGATACGAAAGCATATGTATCACAAATGAGAATACATTTTTGTTACAATACTTGACAAGCTATTGATCTACAATATCGTAAACTATACTCCAATCGGGGGCGTACCGAGGTCTCGAAGGCAGGGCGGGCGGGGAGGGGGCCGTAACACCTTTTTTGCTTAAATCTAACACCAAAAAACACGTAAAAATCCTTATTTTTGACTTTATTAACCAAAAAACACTAAAATTTTCCAAAGCAGGGGGCGTAACACCCCACGCGATCCTAGTTGGTACTCCCCTGGTACGTTTAGGTTTTTGATTGTAAAACGACAAATTACAAAAAATCCAGTAAAATCTATTCAAGAATTGTTGTATATGAGCGCTCAGACGGCCTTCGACCGCATTTGCTAGCAATTATTTTAATTTTTTGAAATAATGCAATCCTATTGGTCAGTTTTTTAGATTGCTTGTAGCAACCGTTAGATTCATTTTTTTAAGGAACAAAGTAGATATCGACCTTCCCCTGCGTGTAGACACCATTTCTGGAAAGTTTCATTTGATTTGCTCGTACGGTTTCCAAATGCATAAAGAACAAACAAACTTTCTTCTTTATATATATAGAAGAAGATAGATGATAAGTTTATTCCGTACGATCTTTATCTTCCACTCTTTATCATCCCTGGATTTAAATATAACATGTTCTTTCTTTTTCTCACTCTCTCGCTTTTCTTTAATAGAAAGAAGACGATTTTTCTTTCTTCGCTTACTGAAATTTTATTTAAGCATCGAGGTCCACGTGTTGTATTTAATCTTCTATAAGGCTATATAAAATCTATTTAATTATATAAAAGTAAAATGAATTTTCTAAATCAAATGATATTATACCAAAATCTACAATTACTCGTCATCAGTGTAAAATCTGTGAAGAAACAACTGAACATTTTAAATTATGATATTATTTGTTGTTCAGCTTGGAAAATATTCTTTCGATGAAATGTAGAAAAAAAGGATTAATTAGTCAAAATAAAATAAGTTTTTATTTTTTTTCTATTTATAAAAATAATTTCATTGTGATTATGATGAAATTAATTTAAATACTCGTCATATATGTTCTGCTTGTTGATTAAAAAGATGTTTTTCAAATGGAATACAAACTAAATTAATTCAATCTTCATTATCAAAGCAAAAATAACAACATTATATATCTTAGTAAAATAAATTAATTTCTTTTTTATTTTAAATTTTAAGATTTCAACATTAAATCTTTTACGGTCAGATCAATAAAATTTAATAATAGATCAATGGAAGTCATTGTTATAATGAATATGATCCATTTTTAATCACTCAATAATATGCATTCGAACAAAATCAACTTCCAATTAAATGATGTCATAAATCTACATCTGTCGGAGAATTTTATGTGTCGATTTATACAAAAGTTCAACAAATATTTGAATATAATGGTGATTATCAATCATTATCTTATCGAACAGTTAAACATGCATCAGATTATACTGCAGAAATTGTATTAAAGCAAATGAAATTATTTGATGATCTGTTATTCTTTGAAAATACAGAGATATTTTTTAATCCTTATGTCATGAAATCTACAAAAATGTTAATGGATTATGTTGATGAAGATTCAATATTTAATAAATTAATTATTGCTTCTTTATTTTTTTCAATAATTTTTTTGACAATTTTTGAACATTATTTAATAGACAATGAATGAAAAACAAATAAAAAATTGAGTATTAATTGATATTGTCTCTTCTTCTTCTAATAATCGAAAAAAAACATAAGCCATAATGAGCAGTGATAGAACAAGTATCGTGCTCGCTGTTAAAAGTATTCCAGGAACGAATATTAAATATTTAAGTAAATACGCGTATCGATCTTGAATTGTTGTTGGTATTTTAAATAAACGTGGATTAATCTTTCGAATGCACAACCAAAAATTATCGATGATCAATGGAAGAATCACTTCTATGATCCATCCATAGGGAATTTGTTAAACCAATAAAAAGCCAGGTCGAACAATCCGGCACGGAAACGGCCGGTTTCGTTCGGAATTTCGCCGGAAGTTCATGAAATCCTGCTTCAGGAACCATCATCCTGGGTAACTGTATTGCTATTATGCGTTTGAAGTAAGAAGATTCATCAACACGTTGGATAATGAGATTGATCTCTGCTGGTATAGACATAACAGCTGATATATGAGTTGATGTTAAAATATCTTTAATTTCACCTATAAAGATTAACAGTATAAACTGTGTTACACAAATAATTAGACGACATATCATAGGTATTTGTGTTTTTAAAAAATTAATATATTGATGATGAAAACCCTACGGAAAAAAGAAAATAAATTTAAACTTTAGAATTTATTTTTCCTTTCTTTGAATAAAGGTCATAGACTGGTTACATACCATGTATATGTATGTATAAGCTGTGATGCGTTACTTGTTTGAAGGCAAAGGAAAAGAAACATGCATCATCTTTTATAGTTTTTTTCGTATTGATGACACGTGACGACAATTATCAAAACAAACTGATGTGAAAAGAAGAAATTAATCGAACTAAAAGACAATAAATTGAAAATAAAATAAAATAAAAAATTTCTTAGATAAGAGTATAGTGTTTAATTGTTAATTTCAAAAACTGAATTGTTATTGAAAATGTAAATAATATATTTATTTATTTTAATAAAATATATGAAGTGAATCAGTAATAAATCATATAGAAAAATAAAACAAAGATATTGTCAATATTGTCAAGATTCAACCCAGAAAAAAAAATAAAAACTCATTATTTGGAGAATTCTTCTTCTATTAATTATAATTTATTTAAGAGAGTAAGTTAAGTATAAAATATGAATCTAGGACACTTGCTCGCCGGATACATGCTCGTAGGACATTTGCTTGGCTC